TGCCATGATTGGCAGGAGGGAAGATGATGGGATGGGATGGATTGGATGGATGGAAAATATGAATAGACTAGATAGAATAGACTAACAAGACTAGACTAGACTAGACTAAATTAATGAATAGAATAGACTGAATAGAATAGATGAATAGAATAGAATAGATAGAATAGAATAGAATAGATATGGACTAGAATTAGAATAGATAGAATTAGAATTAGACATAGAATAGCAATTGGAATGGAATAGAATAGAATAGAGAAAGATAGAGAAAGTAGACAATAGAAACAGAATAAACATAGAGAAATAGAATAGAAAAGAAAAGAAAATATAGAATGAATATAATTAATGGACTGACAGAATTAGAATATCATAGAACTAGAATAACAGATAACAATAAGAGCATGAAAATAGAATAGAATAGAATGATTATGGACTAGACTGGATTGAATAGAATAGATAGAATAGAATAGAATAGAATAAATAGAATAGAAATATAATAGAATAACAGAATAGACAATAGAATAGAAAATAGAATGAATAGAAATATGGAATGGAATGGTCTAGAAAAGAAAATATGGTTGAATAGAAAAGAAATATGAACGGAATGGGAATAGAAATAGAATCGAATAGAACTATGGACTAGATTAGAATAGAGAATAAAATTAGAATAGATTAGAATTAGAATAGATAGATAGAATAGAATAGAATAGATAAAAGAATGAAGGAATAGAATAAATAGAATAGAATGGAAAGATGGAGAAGATAGAATAGGCAGCATAAAATTAGAATAGAACAGACAGACTAGACTAAATTAACATATCATAAAATGGAGATGATAGAATGGAATAGAAGTATGGAATGGAATAGAAAAGAAAATATGGAACGGACTGGAATGAATAGAGAGAATTAATGGCTAGACTAGAATTAGAGAAAGAATTATAATTAGAATATAATAGAATAAGATGAATAGATAGTAATAGAATATGAGAAAGAATAGGATAATAGAATAGAAGTAATAGAATAGAATAGAATAGAATAGAACATAATGACATAGAGAAGAATAGAATAGAATAGAATAACAGAATAATAATAGAATTGAATAAAATTGACCGACGGAATAAATAAAATATATAATGAATAGAATAGAAATATAATAGAAGAATAGAACATAGAATAAATAGAATAGAATAGAACAGACAGACATTCTGGTCCCCACTTGGAATGCTGTTGAACTTTCACAAGTATCAACCCTGCCTCATCTGATCCCTTAAGAAATAAAGCCTTTGACTCATTTGATAAAGCAAAGGGTTCCCTTTTACTAAGATGTTGTTTGCAGTAAAGGTCAAGTCAGCTCTGACTGAATCTCCCACGCTCGCTAGATACCAAAATACAGTGTAGGTTTGCCCTAGCCCATCCTTCCCCACCCCCTCTCCATTGACCATCCAATTCCAGCCACCGGAGCTCGCCAAAGTGGTTTTTGAGAATTCGAATGTTGGGGTAATCCGCGTATTACTCAGGCGCCCAGTCCATGGGGTGCTGGTGCAAACAGGATGCCGCCTGCTCTGTTTCTTAACCATCTCTCATTCCCCTCCCCAGTTCCTATCACGAAAACACAAAGCTTGTTCCCCTTTCATCTATCCCATCCTTATTCCTCCCCCCCGCCCTCCCAGTCCCCTTCCCCATTCCCCCTCCCTTTCTCCTTCCAATCCTTTTCCCTTCCCACCCCTCCTCACTCCTCCCCCCCCCCCCCTTTCATTCTTACCTGCCCCTTCTTCCCCCATTTCAGCTTTTGATGGCATTGCGGCCTGCGAGTCGCCAAGCCGAACTGCAGCAGACGGACACCAGTCTCATCGGGTGCAAACCTGCTCCTGTGTAAAAGGCATAGCAGTAAATAGCTACGGAACTCTTCGATTGTGATCTGGTTTTTGCCCTAAACTGTCCTGGTTCCTACAGATGCAACTCTTCAAAGACTTTGAGGCATTGTTTCTCTTTGTTGTTGTTGTTGTTGTTGTTATTGCGAAGTCGTTTCCGCCCCATCGCGACCCCATGGACACGTTCCCTCCAGGTCTTCCTGCCTACCATCTTCTGGAGTCCATTTAAGTTCTCAACCTACTGCTTCAGTGCTCCATCCAGCCACTCATTCTCTGGTCTCCCCTTCTCTATTGCCCTCCATCTTCCGCCAGCCTTTAGGCCCTTTTCCCAGTGAGTCCTTCTTCTTCATTAGGTGCCAAAGTCTTTTGGTCAACTTCAGATCTGGCCTTCTAAAGAGCAGTCGGGGTTGAATCTCTTCTAGTACTGACCGGGGGTTTGAAACGCTTGCGTCCGGAGATTCGCAGGGAGTCCCCTTCTCCAGCACCATAGTTTCAAAGGCCTCAATCTTTTGTTTACCCTAAATAACGTTTATCGAGTCCGCATAATATCGGCACTGCATAATTTTGTGCCGAAAACTGAATTCCCCTCCCCTGGGACACCTAGTATCCAAGCCAATTTCCCTCCTTCCAATTAACTGGTCCTATCACATCTCCAATTGTTTTGAAATGCAGGCTTCCCCGCCATTCTCCACCCCCCCTCCTTACATCTCTTATTTCAAGCCCTGAATTCGCATGCTATTACAGTGTTGGCGAACCTATGGCACCGTGCCAGAGCGGCACTCAGTGCCCTCTCTGTGGGCCCGCACTAGCTGCCCTGAATGGCACTGTCCCTCTTCAACCAGCGGCCCGCTAACTTGCGAGGTCCGCACATGGCCGGATGTATCCACACCCATGAGCTCACTCTGTGCGGGGGCCGTTGTTTGCAGGCGCAGCCACCCGGCCCCTGCCTCACCTTGCCCTGTGACAATGGCCGCCCCTGCCCTGCCATCGCTTGCCTCGCCTCACCCCGCAAGGTGAGCCTCCATGCCCACCGCCCCACCTTCCAGAGCCCCCTGGATCTCCCCCAACTGCCGCCTCCCACACGGTGTCCTCCCCATGATCTAACATCGAGGTGATCCCGGCCCACATTGGCACACCACCCAATCTGGCACGCCCAACACACGCCACGTCAACCCAGTGGGCACGCCCACCGCTGGCACCCGGCGAAAATAGTGTGGTTTGGGTTTTGCATTGGACTCGGTCTCTAAAGGTTCGCCATCACTGCACTACAATATTTGATGTCTAACTCACTCCATCACATTCTCTCCTCCTCTCCTCCCCAGCATCCTCTAATTCAGTGTTCTCAAACTTTTATGCCGCGACGCCACCGGTCTAGTTGAGGACTACTCAAACCGTCGTAAGTCGAGGACTAACTCAACTGGTGCAGCACCGTTTGCAGAAGGGGGACTTTTGCGGGCTCACAGGGCAGAACAGCCTGGACAATTCCTATTGCTTTGGAAGCCAATATAATTATACTCTATTCAGAGAGTCTAATTATATTGGCCTTCCAAACCCATAGAATAAAGGGAGGAGCACAGCTAGGAACAAGGGTGGGGAAATGTGGACTGCCCCGTGAATGGTCCTTCGACCCAAATGGGGTCCTGACCACAGATTGAGAACCGCGGCTTCTAATTCTAAGAGTAAAGCATTAAAAGAACAAGGCTTGCATCTCCCCATGTGTCAAGCAAGAACATCCGATGTTAGCAGCATTGCACCTAACGTGTGCGTCTCTTCGTTTGCTTTCTAGGATGGCCCCCCGAATGGCCTGGCCATGGACGAAGGGCAGTACGACGGTAAAGTTGACGTGTTGTCACTTGGGATCACCTGCATCGAATTAGGTGGCCCTGTGGTTCTCCTTGGGTTTCCCGAGCTCCTTTTCTTCACGATCCTTTACAATCAGCCAACGACCAGGCACACAGAGATAAACAACATCTCATGCCGCTTAAAAGAGAAAGCCACAAACGGAACAAAAAGCCCCACATTCCAACTCACCAGACCCAATTAGCAGAGAATACACACCGAGCTTAACACTCGACTACGAATCAAGCAGTAAACCACACCCCACGCAAGGAGCCACCACTAAACTTCGACTTATATACCGCTTCACAGTGTCTTTACACCCCTCTCAGCGTTTACGGAGTCAGCCTATTTGCCCTCCAGCAATCTGGTCCTCATTTTTAACCGACCATGGAAGGCACACTGGCTGGATTCTGGAATGGAAGTCCAAAAGCAGGGTCCTTCAAACTTGACCTTTGATGATTGTGGACTTCAACTCCCAAATCTCTCAGCTAGGCACGCTGGCTGAGAATTCTTGGAGTTGAAGTCCACAAGCAGGGGTCTTTCAACGTTGGCCTTTTGGATGACTTTTGGACTTCACTCCCAGATTCATGCCTGCTGTGGATTCGGAGTTGAAGGTCCACAAGCAGAGTCTCAAACTTGGCCCTTTGATAGACTTGGGACTTCACTACCCAGAATTCATTCCTGGCTGAGGAATTCTGGGAGTTTTAATGTCCCCAAGTCATCGAAGGGCCAGTTGGAAGATCCTGGATAAACAGTGATAGGATTAAAACATCAGACATTAAAAAGCAGAACCCCTAAAATAATACTCAAAGGATAAGATCTGACCTTCGTTCTCTAATCAGTGAGCCCTCACACCCAGATTTGGACCGATCTAATGGCGGATTGTAAACGCTGCCGAGCCGAGAGGCGAGGGCACAAGCTTTCGTTCCGCCCGCGCGGGATGAGGTCCACCCACGCCAAAAACCTCCTCCTCCCCCTCGCCCCCAAAGCTACACGTCCGTGGAACCAAAGGGTTGGGAACCCCTACTCTAAAACAACCATGGCCCACCGGCTGTTTTAGCACACCAGCCTATTTTAAGAGGGGCAGTTTCATGGCTGGGCAAAGTCATAGTGGGAGATGCTTTTGTTTGTGGCTCTTTCTCATTCCCCCCTGCCCCCCTGGGTCTCGGGACCGGATGGGGGGCAATGGGGGTGAAGAGGAGGCGTCCGAAGGCAGGTACTAAAGCCCCCCCTTTTCCTCTTTCGCACAGCGGAACGGCGCCTCCGTTGTTTAACATGAATGCCATGAGTGCCTATATCACATAGCGGCAGAATGATCCCCCTCCTCCATCCAGCGAGTGGTGAGTCTGAGAGGGTCTCTGGGGGGGGAGGGGATGGAAGAGGTTGGGGATTGAGCTCTGGGCACATTGTGGACAGCCCCCTCAGATTGGCTGCTTATTGTCTATCATCTTCCCTAACCTACCTACCTACCTACCTATCTACCTAAATTACGCTCTCTATCTCTCTCTCTCCTCTCATCTCATCCCAGCACACATATACCTGTCTATATATGTTCCTATCTCTGTCTATATCATCTTCATCTCTCTGTCCCATATAACATCATCATTATTTATAGCTGGTCGATCAATCTGTCATCTACTCTGTATATACTCCTCCATCTATCTATCCCAGCCAGCCACCATCTAGCCTACTATCTATCATCTATCTATTCCTATTTATCTATCCCATCTATCATCTATCATTTATCGCCACTCTAATCTATGCTGTCTATGTTCCCTATCTATCTGTCTGTCTGTCTATCCTCATCTGTCCCCATCACTCACCCATCCATTTTCATTCATCATCCATCCTATATCTATCTCTCTATCTAATCTAGCTATCCATATCTATCTGTCTGTCTGTCTATCCATATCTATATCTATCAATCTATCTTATCTATCTATCTCTATCTATCCATCCATATCTATCTGTCTGTCTGTCTGTCTATCCTTATCTCTATCTATCTATCTATCTATCTATCTATCTCTATCTATCTCTATCCATACATATCTATCTATCTGTCTATCCTTATTTATATATATCTGTCTGTCTGTCTGTCTATCCTTATTTATATCTATCTATCTATCCATCCATCCATCTATCCATCCATCCATCCATATCTGTCTGTCTATCTGTCTATCTATATCTATCTATCAATCTATCTATCTATCTACCTCTCTCTCTCTCTCTCTCTCTCTCTCTCTCTCTCTCTCTATCTATCTATCTGTTTGTCTGTCTGTCCTTATTTATATCTATCTATCTATCTATCTATCTATCTATCTATCTATCTATCTATCTATCTCTATCTATCTATCTATCCATCTCTCTCTCTCTCTCTCTCTCTCTCTCTCTCTCTCTCTCTCTCTCTGTCTATCATGGCCCTCCTGTCTTCTGAGCCCTGTCCTTCCTTCTCCCACACCTCCCCCATCCCTCCTGCTCTCTCGTCTCCATGACGCTCAGCGACCAAGCAGGATCAAAATCTCTGGAGAGAAATAAAGTTGGGGTCCAAAGCCTGACTTAAACCCACGTTTCCCCTCCCCACCACCCCGCTCCCTTTGCAGGTCTGATTATTTCCGAAACTTTGTAGATTCTTGCCTGCAGAAAATCCCCCACGACAGGCCGACATCCCAGGAGCTCCTGAAGGTGGGTCCGGCGTTGCTCCATCCCCTTTGAAGCAGATAGTTGGGGGGAGGGGTATCTCTTTCCTTCTGGTTTTTAGGCCTCTCCCCCCCCCCGTTCTCTGCCAAGCCCTAGCCCACCTCTGGAACCTCGGGATCCCCACGACAGCTCTTCCTGTTTCCTGTGGGTCTCCTGACCCTAGATGCACCCTGGATGCATCCTTTTGTCAGGGTTCCAGATTCCCTGGGACTTATTTCCCTGTGGTGGTCTTGGGAAAGATGGCTAACGCTGGCGGCTTTCCCAAAGGAGCTTTTTCCAGGAGGCAACTGGACTTCCTCTGAAGACGTTTCGCTTCTCAGCCCAGAAGCTTCTTCAGCTCTGACGCCTTGCAGACCGCTGGACCTTCGCCGTTTGCAGGGTTGTTGAGGACACAGGTCAACCTCCAAATGGCCTCAACGACCCTCTAAAACAGTGGTTCTCAACCTTTTTAATGCCGCGACCCCCCCCCCAACCGGTCGTAAGTCGAGGACTACTCAACCGGTCGTAAGTCGAGGACTCCTCAACTGGTGCAGCACCGTTTGTAGAATGGGACTTTTGGCCGGCTCAGCAGGGCAGAGACAGCCTGGACAATTCCTATTGGCTTTTGAAAGCCAATAGAATTAGACTCTATTCAAGACAGTCTATTCTATTGGCTTTCAAAAGCCAAGAGAATAAAAGGGAGGAGTGCAGCTAAGGAAAAGGAGAAAAGAAAATGGCGGACTGCGTTGTTTGGCGACCCCCGTGAAATGGTTGTTCGACCCCAAATGGGGTCCCGACCCACAGGTGGAGAACCACTGCTCTAAAACAGACATGTCAAACCCAAGGCCCGGGGGCTGGATGCGGCCCGCGAAGTGGTGTCATGTGGCCTGCAAAGCCATCCTGGAAACAGTGAGGGAACGGCCCCCGCTGCCTTGGCCCTGGCCCAGACCAGCCGGGAGCCAATGTACAATTTTGTGGTGGCCAACTATGCTGAAACGCATTCAGTCTCCCTCTGACTTTGCCCTGGTACCCATCATGAGCAACCTGGCTAAGGAGAGCAAGCACAGCAGCAGCAGCCTTGAGGGGGAGGTAAGTGCAGCTGGGCACCCCCTTGGGGAAGTGGGGCTGGGCTTGGTGCCGCGGGTGCTCGAGGGCCAGGCGGTGCATTTGACTGCTGCTGCTCGGGGCTCCGGGCAGCCCACACCACCATCCAGGCCCTCCCCCCCCATATGGCCTGAGAGGAACAGTGAGGCTCCTCCAGTGGACCATGCCTTGGTGCTTGCCCCGGTCCCACCGCCTTCTGCCAGAGACCCTCAGATCTGTCCCACTCCTGCCCAGGCCCCCACAGGCACCTTTGACGCGAACGATGTAGAGCTGGCCACGCCCACCCAGTAGGTCACACCCACTCCCTCCACGTCCACCCAGTAGGCTACGCCCACCCGGCCCCCCAAGGGCAACTGCAATGCTGATGCGGCCCTGCTCTCAAAGAAAGCAAATGACCAGCTGTTTGCAAGGAGGGACCCAGGGCAGACAACATCCTGCAGCCAAGCAAATGGGTGTGGGGGCTTGTTGGGACTGTCGAAAGGATTGTGTTCCACACCCATTTGCACCGCTCAGGTGACCCCCGAGGACACAGACAAACCTCCAGGTGGCCTCAAGGACTCTCTCTTAAAAGAAGGCAAAGGACCAGCTCTCTGCCAGGAGTATAAATCCTTCCATTCCCCCACCCTCCAGTCAGAGCTGAAGAAGCTTCTGGGTTGAGAAGGGAAACATCTTCAAGGGGAACGGAAGGATTTACACTCCTTGCAGGGAACTGGTCGTTTGCCTCATTTTAGAGTCGTCGAGGCCACTTGGAGGTTTATCTGTGTCCTCAACGTCACCTGAGTGGTGCAAATGGGTGTGGAACCTTCTTGGCTGCACGATGTTTTCTGCCCTGGGTCCCTCCTTGCAAACAGCTGGTCATTTGCCTTCTTTTAGAGTTGTTGAGGCCACTTGGAGGCTGACCTGTGTCTTCGGGGTCACCTGAGCGATGCAAATGGGTGTGAATTCCTTTCAGCAGTTCCAAGAAGGCCCCACACTGATTTGCACCACTCTGGTGACCCTGAGGACACAGACAAACCTCCAAGTGGCTTCAACGACTCTCTAAAAGAAGGCAAATGACCGGCTGTCTGCAAGGAGTATAATCCTTCCATTTCCCCCACCATCCACAGAGCTGAGGAAGCTTCTGGGTTGAGAAGTGAAATGTCTTCAAGGGGATTGGAAGGATTTACACTCCTTGCAGAGAGCTGGTCATTTGCCTTCTTTTAGAGAGTCATTGAGGCCACTTGGAGGCTGACCTGTGTTCTCAGGGTCACCTGAGTGGTACAAATGGGTGTGGAACACAATCCTTTCAGCAGTTCCAAGAAGGCCCCACACTGATTTGCACCACTCTGGTGACCCTGAGGACACAGACAAACCTCCAAGTGGCTTCAACGACTCTCTAAAAGAAGGCAAATGACCGGCTGTCTGCAAGGAGTATAATCCTTCCATTTCCCCCACCATCCACAGAGCTGAGGAAGCTTCTGGGTTGAGAAGTGAAATGTCTTCAAGGGGATTGGAAGGATTTACACTCCTTGCAGAGAGCTGGTCATTTGCCTTCTTTTAGAGAGTCATTGAGGCCACTTGGAGGCTGACCTGTGTTCTCAGGGTCACCTGAGTGGTACAAATGGGTGTGGAACACAATCCTTTCAGCAGGTCCAAGAAGGCTCCACACCCATTTGCAGCACTCAGATGACCTTAAGGACACAGACAAACCTCCAAGTGGCCTCAACGACTCTCTAAAAGGAGGCAAATGACCGGCTGTCTGCAAGGAGTATAAATCCTTCCATTCCCCACCATCCATTCAGAGCCGAAGAGGCTTCTTGGATGAGAAGTGAAACGTCTTCAAGGCGAACGTAAGGATTTATACTCCTTGCAGGCAGCTGGTCATTTGCCTCCTTTGAGAGAGTCCTTGAGGCCACCTGGAGGCTTGCCTATGTCCTCAGGGTCACCTCAGAAGCACAGATGGCTGTAGAGCCTTCTTGGAACAGCTGAAAGGAACTCCACACCCATTTGCATCGCTCAGGTGACCCCGAGGACACAGGTAAACCTCCAGGTGGCCTCAACAACTCTCTAAAAGGAGGCAAATGACCAGCTGTCTGCAAGGAGTATAAATCCTTCCATTTCCCACCATCCAATCAGAGCTGAAGAAGCTTCTTGGATGAGAAGTGAAACGTCTTCAAGGAGAACAGAAGGATTTATACTCCTTGCAGGCAGCTGGTCATTTGCATCCTTTTAGAGAGTCCTTGTGGCCACTTGGAGGTTTGTCTGTGTCCTCGGGGTCACCTGAGGGGTGCAAATGGGTGGGGAGCCTTCTTTCAGCAGTTCCAAGAAGCCCCCACACACATTTGCATCACGCAAATGACCCTGAGGACACAGGCAAACCTCCAAGTGGGCTCAACGACTCTCTCAAAGGATGCAAATGACCGGCTGTCTGCAAGCAGTATAAATCCTTCCATTCCCCCACCCTCCAGTCAGAGCTGAAGAAGCTTCTTGGATGAGAAGCGAAACGTCTTCCAAGGAAAAACAAGGAAGTCCAGTTGCTTCCTGGGAAAAAAAAAGCCCCTTTGGGGCAACCCTGATCTGGAGGACGGAGATCTTCCGCGGACCTGACGCTTTTTCTTCTGCCTTCTCTCCCAGCACGTCTTTGTTCTCCGAGACCGCCCGGAAACCGTCTTAATAGACCTCATCCAGAGAACCAAGGATGCCGTGAGGGAGCTGGACAACCTTCAGTATCGCAAGATGAAGAAGCTGCTCTTCCAGGAGGCCCATAACGGACCAGCAGTGGAAGCCCAAGAGGAGGAAGAGGTGGGCGGGGAGGGGGTGCGGACTGGGGGCTCCTGGGGGGCGTGTCTCTGAGCTGGCTGGTTCTGTTGCAGACTTTTGCATTATCTAGTTTGTGGGGAGGAAGAGGAGGAGGACTGTGGGGTCTCTGGTGCTCTCTGAGCTGGGTGGTTTTCTTGCAGACGTTTCATGACCCAACTAGGGAACATCATCAGTGCTAGAAGGGAGTGTGGGGTTTGCAGAGAGGAGGAGGAGGACGACTGGAGGATGCTTGATGTTCTCTGAGCTGGGTGGTTTTCTTGCAGACATTTCGTAACCCAACTAGGTTACATCAGTGCTTGAAGGGAGGAGGAGGAGGAGGAGGACAGTTGGGTCCTTGGTGTTCTCTGAGCTGGGTGGTTTTCTTGCAGATGTTTAGTTACATAGTTTGTGGAGAAGAGGAGGAGGAGGAGGAGGAAGAGGGGGTAGGAGGAAGAGGAGGAGAACTGTGGGGTCCCTGATGCTCTCTGAGCTGGGCTCTTTTCTTGCAGATGTTTCATGACCCAACTAGGGAACATCATCAGGGCTAGAAGGGAGGAGGAGGAGGAGGAATAATAAAAGGAAGGGAAGGAGGAAGGAAGGAAGGAAGGAAGGAAGGAAGGAAGGAAGGAAGGAAGGAAGGAAGGAAGGAAGGAGAGAAGGGGAGAAGAGGAGGAGGACTGTGGGGTCCTTGGTGTTCTCTGAGTCGGGTGGCTTCCTTGCAGACATTTCATGACCCAACTAGGGAACATCATCCGTGCTAGAAGGAAATGGGTTTTTACTCTCTCTGAGACTTCTAGCACTGTTGACTTTACCTAGTTGGGTTATGAAACCATCAGCAAGAAAACCACCAAGGTCAGAAAGCCCCAAGGACCCCACAGTCGTCATCCCCCTCCTCCTCCTCCTCCTCCTCCTCCCTCTAGCACTGATGATGTCACCTAGTTTGGGTCATGAAAGGTCTGCGAGGGAAGCCACCCAGCTCAGAGGGCGCCCAGGACTCCATCTGTGAGTCCGTACATATTCTCTTGTATCAGAGGGTGGGCTATAGAAGCTTCTGAGGTAGAGGGGGGGAGCAGGCAACATCTGGCCCCCCCTCCTGGCTCACCCAGATGGGAAGGGAGGGCACGCTAGGGGTCCCATCGATCACAACCGGGCTCAGGCGAACTGACGTTCCTATTGACTGGTTTGTTACTTCTCCTGTTGTATGTACAGGTAGTCCTCAACTTAACGGCCTAAAGTTTCCGTGACTAAGCGAGACATTAGTTAAGTGAGTTTGGCCCCATTTTACGTCCCTTCTCGCCACAGTTGTTACGTCGATCCCCGCAGCCGTTCAGTTAGCAACAGGGTCATTCAGCGAATCTGGCTTTCCCATTGAATTTGCTTGTCAGAAGGTCGCAAAAGGGGATCACGTGACCGAATGCTGATCACGTGACCCCCTGAGGAGGCTGTAACGGTCATAAGTGTTGAAAAGGGTCATAGATCACTTTCTCCAGTGCCCTTGGAACTTCGGTCACTAAGTAAACTGTTGTAAGTCAAGGACTACCTGTATTATGACACTGCCCCTTTCATATGGTGCCTCTGCTCTCAACCTTTCTCTCTCTCTCCTCTCTCTCTTTCTCTCCCTCTTTCCCTCTCCCTTTCTCTCTCCCTCTCCCTCTCTCCTTTCTCTCTTTCTCTCCCTCTCCCTCTAACTCTCTCCTTCTCTCCCTCTCCCCCTCCCTTTCTTTCCCTCTAACTCTTTCTCCCTCTCCCTTTCTCTCTCTCCCTCTCCCTCCCTTCCTCTTTCTTCCTCTCTCCCTTCCTCTCTCTCCCCCTCTCTCCCTCTCTCTCTCCCTCTTTCTCCCTTTCTCTCTCTCCTCTCTTCCCCCTCTCCCTCTCTCTGTCTCCCTTTTTCTCTCTCTCTCCCTCCCTCTCTCTTCCTCTCTCCATTCCTCTTTCTTCCTCTCTCCCTTACTCTCCCTTACTCTCTCTCTCCCCCTCTCTCCCTTTCTTTCCCTCTCTCTCTCCCTCTTTCTCCCTTTCTCTCTCCCTCTCTTCCCCTCTCTCTCCCTCTCTGTCTCCCTTTTTCTCTCTCTCTCCCTCCCTCTCTCTCTCTCCCTTTCTCTCCCTCCCTCTCTCTTCCTCTCTCTCCCTTTCCCTCTCTCCCTCTTTCCCTTTCTCTCTCTCCCTTTCTCTCGCTCCTTCTCTCTTCCCCCTCTCCCTTTCTCTGTCTCCCTTTTTCTCTCTCTCCCTCCCTCTCTCTCTCCCTCTAACTCTCCCTCTCTCTCCCTTTCTCTCCCTCTTTCTCCCCTTCTCTCTCCCTCTCTTTCCCCTCTCTCCCTCTCTCTGTCTCCCTTTTTCTCTCTCTCTCTCCCTCCCTCTCTCTCTCTCCCCTCTCTCTCCCTCTAACTCCCTCTCTCTCTCTCCCTCCTTCTGTCTCCCTCTCTCTCCCTCTAACTCTCTTTGTCTCCCCCCCCCTCTCTCTCTCCAGGAGCAAGACCCCAGCATGGGCCGGACAGGCACCGTGAACAGTGTGGGGAGCAACCAGTCCATTCCCAGCATGTCCATCAGCGCCAGTAGCCAAAGCAGCAGTGTTAACAGCCTTCCGGATGCCTCTGACGACAAGAGCGAGCTGGATATCATGGAAGGAGACCACACGGTGATGTCCAACAGCTCCGTCATCCACCTGAAGCCGGTAATTGGGCCGGGGTGCTGGGTGGGAGCCTCGGGACTTTCAGGAAAAAAACGGCAAGGGAGCGGGAGCCAGTGACGTTTCATGACCCAACTAGGGAACTTCATATAAGTTCTAGAAGGGAGGGGGGGCTGTGGAGAGTGGGGGAGGAGGAGGAGGACGATGACAACTGTGGGGTCCTTGTTGCTTTCTGAGCTGGGTGGTTTTCTTGTAAACGTTTCATTACCCAACTAGGTAACGTCATCAGTACTTGAAGGAAGGGAGTTTGTGGTCCCTGTTTTAGCTGACCTCCCGGTTAGGGCATCGTTAAAGGGGAATATTAGTAGCTCAGCGCTGAAGTGAGGGGTCCTTGGTGGTCTCTGAATGGGGTGGTTTTCTCGCAGACGTTGCATTAGCCAAAGTATGTAATGTCATCAGGGCTAGAAGGGAGGAGGAGGAGGAGGAGGAGGAGGAGGAGGAGGAGGAGGAGGAGGAGGAGGGAGGAGGAGGAGGAGGAGGAGGAGGAGGAGGAGGAGAAAGACAACTGTGGGGTCCTTGCTCTCTGAGCTCTTGCTGAGGGAGGAGGAGGAGGAGGAGGAGGAGGAGGACTGTGGGGTCCTTGGTGCTCTCTGAGCTTAGTTCCTTTCTTGCAGACATTTCATGACCCAACTAGGTAACACCATCAGTGGCATTGGTGCTGGTGCTAGCCCTGATGATGTTACCTAGTTCGGGTCATGAAACGTCTGCAAGAAAACCCCCAAGCTCAGTTCTTCACCACCTCCTCCTCCTCCTCCTCCTCCTCCTCCTCCTCGCCCTGATGCCATTACATACTTTGGCTAATGCAACGTCTGCGAGAAAACCACCCCACTCAGAGAGCACCAAGGACTCCTCACTTCAGCGCTGAGCTACCAATATTCCCTTTTAACGATGCCCTAACTGGAAAGCTACATTTCAGGCAGTCAGCTAAAACAGGGGTCCCCAACCCCAGGCCACTGACCACTACACCGGTCTGTGGCCTGTTAGGAACCGAGGCGCAACGATGAAGGAGCGACAGGGAAGCGGAAGTGCGCGCATGCGAAGGGAACTAGGCTGCGTACTCCTCCCCCCGTCCCACCAGTCCGTGGAGAAATTGTCTTCCACAAAAACGGTCCCTGCTGCCGAAAACGTTGGGGGGCTACTGACCAAAAAGGTTGTTTTTTGAGAACGACGGCAAAGAGGCAGATACAGTAGTAGCCAAAATTGTGGAAACCTTTTGGGAAAAAGTGTACAGGAGAAATGCCACCGTTGGTTAAGTTTCCACCCATTTTTCTTCTCATTTCTTTATAACTGCCCTGTTGTGCAAGGAGGCATCTGCTGCAAGTCCTCAGTTTTGTTGATGCACAGCGAAAGAACATTTGCAGAAAAATTGTGGATTTCATTTTTTTTTCTCCTTAGAAAGGGATGGTTAAAATTGGAGAAATATTTGAAACGTGATTTTGAGGCAGTTTTTAAATTACTATTTTAACTCCACTTATATCTTTAATCTATAGATATGTAGTGTGCTGTGCACACTTCTATGTTTGTGTGTTTCTATTAATGCGTGCGGCATTATATGATGGAACAGTATATAAGGAACTGCATTATATATCGTTCACTTAATAATACTATTTTGCATCGCTTTCTGGGCGACCAGTCAACTCTTTGCACCACGACTTTAATTTTATTATGTTTTGCAAGCTCACTCAATGAAAGAACACAAAAAAAAACCCCAATCAACTTGGTAGCCATCACATAACACACTGACAAAGGTCCTCCTCTCAGCTTCAATACAGGACATCAATCACTGGATCCTACTGTGATCTGATTGGCTCATGGCCAAAGCAAGGTGACCCGTGATTGGCTCTCTAAACACTCACGCTCATTGGCTACCATCAGATGAAGGAAAGCTACTTGAGATCAACCTAAGCAAGTTGTGCTTCCTTTTTCTGCTTATTTGGCTATAACCTTTCATAGGATACAGTACAGATAATTGAACAGACTTTGTTGCATTACATTCTTGATTAATTTATCTTTCCACTGATATATAAGGAACATATAAGGAACGGTTGCTGGAATTGGGGATGTCTAGTTTAACGAAGAGAAGGACGAGGGGGGACATGATAGCTGTGTTGCAATATCTCAGGGGCTGCCCCAAAGAAGAGGGAGTCAAGCTATTTTCCAAAGCGCCTGAAGGCAGGACAAGAAGCAACAGATGGAAACTAACCAAAGAGAGAAGCAATCTAGAAATAAGGAGAAATTTCCTTACAGGTAGAACAATTAACCCGTGGAACAATCTGCCTCCAGAAGCTGTGAATGCTCCAACACTGGAAGTTTTTAAGAAGAAACTGGACAGCCATTTGTCCAAAATGGTGTAGGGTTTCCTGCCTGAGTAGGGGGTTGGACTAGATGACCTCCACGGTCCCTTCCAACTATTATTATTATTATTATTATTATTATTATTATTATTAACAACCTGCTTCCAGAAGTTGTGAATGCTGCAACACTGGAAGTTTTTAAGAAGAAACTGGACAGCCATTTGTCCGAAATGGTGTAAGGTTTCCTGCCTGAGCAGGGGGTTGGACTAGATGACCTCCAAGATCCCTTCCAACTTTCTCATTATTATTATTATATAATTTTATGGTACTACTCCAAAAAAAAGCGGTGTTATTAGTCATCCAACCTCAAAAATACACTTTTCCCAAAAAGGTTGCCACAATTTTGGCCACTACTGTATTGGCCCCAGTTCTCTCTTGCTGGAAACCTGCATTTGATAACGTCCCGAGTGTCGTGCGAAGGGCCTTCAGCTTCTCTGTTCTTTTCTCTGGTTCCCAGGAGGAAGAAAACTACAGGGAGGATTCGGACGCTCGGCTGCGAGGATCGGAGCCCCAGTCTCCCCCCCAAGGGACGCGCCACAGATCCCACTACCGCAACAGAGAGCACTTTGCCACCATACGCACAGCATCGCTGGTGAGCGGCCTTGGCCTCTATTTTTGGCCACAGCAACTATCTACTGGCGTGCCCTTCACACAACCCCCTTGCTGTCCACCTGTCTTTTGAAAAACCCGTGGAAAAATATTTGCCCTACAGAACAGAGAAGCAGGCTCAGTTGGATCTCTCCAGCAATGACTTTGTCTGTCTGCCTGCCTGCCTGCCACACTGTCTCTCTCTGTGTAACTATCTGTGTGTCTGTCTATCTGAAATCTAAAATCCATTATCTATTATCTGTGTATATCTATCTGAAATTATCATTTATATCTGTCTGCCTATCTAAAATCTATCATGTTTGTCTCCAATTATCTATCTATCTATCCATCTATCTATCTCTCAATGTCTGCTGTCTCTGTCTGTCTGTCTGTCTATCTATCTATCTATCACTTTATCTCTCAATGTCTCTGTCTATCTGTCTGTATCTATCTATCTATCTATCACTCTCTCAATGTCTACTTACCTACCTACCTCTGTCTATCTTATCACTATCTCTTAAAGTCTGTCTCTGTCTATCTAAAATCTATCATGTTTGTCTCCAATATCTATCTATCCATCCATCTATCCATCTATCTATCTCTCAATGTCTGCTGTCTCTGTCTGTCTGTCTGTCTATCTATCACTTTATCTCTCAATGTCTGTCTATATCTATCTATCTATCTATCTATCTATCTATTTATCTATCACTATCTCTCAATGTCTACCTACCTACCTACCTACCTCTGTCTGTCTGTCTGTCTGTCTACCTACCTACCTACCTATCTCTATCTTTCTATTCTCTATATCTGTCTATTTCTATCTCTCTATTATCTCTATATCTCAGATAGAGATAGATATCTATCTCTTTCTCTATTTCTATTATCTATATCTCTCTATCTATTATCTATTTCTCTATATCTCTCTATTTCTATCATCTCTTGATCTCTATTTCTATTTATCTATCTATATCTATCATCTATATCTATCTATCATCTATATCTATCTACCTACCTACCTACCTCCTGTCTTTATTATTTATACCATGGGTTGTCCATCCTTGGCCACTTTAAGACATGTGGACTTCAGGTCCCAGAATTTCAACCCCCAGCATGGCCGGCTGGGGGATTCTGGGAGTTGAAGTCTACAAGTCTTAAACGTGCACTTGACAAGTGTCTTGCACAGCAGTGGAAACTTTGAGCTCCACCGTGGTGGTGAGTTGGGGACCACCTGCATTTTTCCTTACTTTGGCACGGCCCAGTACCCACCGGGTCCATTTCCTTGGCTGGCCTGGGTTTTGTGCCGAGGCTTTTGGGGACTTGGGGGGGGTGTGTGTCTTTCCCCGTCCTAAAAACGGCCCCTGGGGCTTCTGGGTCCTCGGCAGGTGACCCGCCAGATGCAGGAGCACGAGCAGGACTCCGAGCTGCGGGAGCAGATGTCCGGCTATAAACGCATGCGGCGGCAGCACCAGAAGCAGCTGATGGCCCTGGAGAACAAGCTGAAAACCGAGATGGACGACCACCGCCTGCGGCTGGACAAGGATCTCGAAACGCAACGCAACAACTTTGCGGCGGAGATGGAGAAGCTCGTCAAGAAGCACCAGGCAGCCATGGAGAAAGAGGTGAGGGCCGATTCTGTAGAGGTGTTAATAATAATAATAATAATAATAATAGTAATAGTAATAGGCTCCTTGGGTGCAATCCCAAAACAACTGGAGCACCACTTGGACACCCTCATCGGCATTGACAAATTCACTATTAGTCAATTGCAAAAGGCGGCCTTATTAGGAACTGCTTCCATCCTGCGACGATACCTGTAATGCCATCAAACATCCACATCTGCCTATCCCAGGTCCTGGGTAAGGACTCGATAGGTAGACAAAAACTCCAAATCCAGTCTGAACATCTGGCTGACTGTGCGATGATCAATAATAATAATAATAGTAGTAGTAAAAATAGTAAAAACAATAAAAATAATAATAAAGTTGGAAGGGACCTTGGAGGTCATCTACTCCAACCCCCTGCTCAGGCAGGAAACCCTAGACCATTTCAGACAAACGGCTCTCCAGTCTCTTCTTAAAAACTTCCAGTGTTGGTGCACCCACAACTTCTAGTGGCAGACTGTTCCACTGGATAATTGTTCTCACTATCAGGAAATTTCTTCTTAGTTCTAGGTTGCTTCTCTCCTTGATGAGTTTCCATCCGTTGCTCTTTGTCCTGCCTTCAGGCGCTTTGGAGAATAGCTTGACTCCCTCTTCTTTGGGGCAGCCCCTGAGAGATTGGAACACTGCTATCATGTCCCCCCCTCGTCCTTCTCTTCATTAAAGTAGACATCCCCAATTCCAGCAACCGTTCCTTATATGTTTTAACCTCCAGTCCCCTGATCCTCTTTGTTGCTCTTCTCTGCACTCTTTCCAGAGTCTCAACATCTTTTTTACATCGTGGTGACCATGAAGTCAGCGTGCCCGTTCTGGTCACCACAATGCAAAAAAGACGCTTAGAAAGAGTGCAGAGAAGAGCAACAGAGGGGCCTGGAGGCTAAATCCAGAGGGAACTAAGTGTCAATAAAGGAGAATATTTTCAGCTCAGAATTGAAATGAAGGGGTTTTGCTGTTCTCTGAATTTGCTTGTTTTCCTGCAGATGTTTCATTACCCAACTAGGTCAGGGGCCCCCAACCTACAAGCTGCGGATCGGAACCCGGCCGCAGGTTCTTGGCCAGCGGGCCGTGGAAATGGCTGGCCAGTGCGCACACACATGGGTGCGCATTCCCCCCACTCATGCTACCGGCCACGGCCCTGTTGGCACATGCGGAGGGACACGAACAGAGCCACTAGCCCCGGGTGTGTGTGCGGCCCTTTTGCGCATGTGCAAATGGGCCACTAGCACCAGACAAGTGGCATGGCTGTCCACACACGTGTGAACGGGGCTGCTAGCCGCTGCCACAGAGGTGCGCGGCCATTCGTGCATGCGCACGGCGCCAGCACATGCCTCACGCACGAATGGGGCTGCTAGCTTGCTTCTCTCTTTCATTAGTTTCCATCCGTTGCTTCTTGTCCTGCCTTTGAGGGGCTGCCCCAAAGAAGAGGGAGTCAAGCTATTCTCCAAAGCTCCTGAAGGCAGGACTGGAAGCAAAGGATGGAAACTAATCAAGGATGATGTGTTTGCTTGTTAATATGGATGTTATTAGCTATGATAATTAATTGGATGAAATTTTTAATCTCGTCTAATGGGCTGAAATAGTTTAAGGTTTGATATTACTCTGTCAGCTTAAAGAGATTGATGGATGGATGGATAGATGGATTAGATATGTATAGGATAGATCAATATTTTATTTTAATTAGGAGATATTAGCGGAAGAAGAAATAAACAAGACTTATGATAAAATTAAGGAATTAGAGTATACCTGGAAAAGGGATACCTGAATTGATAATGTGTTTATTTAAAGTTAAATTTGATTATGGTATTGTAACTTCATAAAGCTCTAAAACAGCTTTAGGATTAATAGAAATTTAAGTTAGAAATGGATTATCTTAAATATAGATTAAGCTATTTGAGGGAAATAGAGAGGGAATATTTGATGTATTGATTGAGTTATTTATATATGTTTTATTTTTGGATCTTTGATTACCCCAGCACCACGGTGTGTCTTGAGCACTTTGTCTTAAGAATTAAGAAACCAATAAAATTTGTTTAAAAAAAAAAAAAGACACTAAGCAAGGAGAGAAGCAACCTAGAACTAAGGAGAAACTTCTTGACAGTCAGAACAATTAACCCAGTGGTTCTCAACCTGTGGGTCGGGACCCCATTTGGGGTCGAACGACCATTTCATGGGGGGTCGCCAAACAACGCAGTCCACCATTTTTTTCCCCTTTTCCTTAGCTGTGCTACTCCCTTTTATTCTATTGGCTTTTGAAGCCAATAGAATAGGCTCTCTTGAATAGAGTCTAATTCTATTGGCTTTCCAAAGCCAATAGGAATGGTCCAGGCTGTCTCTGCCCTGCTGAGCCTGCCAAAAGTCCCATTCTGCAAACGGTGCTGCACCAGTTGAGTAGACCTCGACTTACGACCGGTTGAGTAGTCCTCAACTTACGACCGGTTGGGGTTCACGGCATTAAAAAGGTTGAGAACCACTGCATTAATCAGTGGAACAGCCTGCCTCCAGAAGCTGTGAATGCTCCAACACTGGAGGTTTTTAAGAAGAGACTGGACAGCCATTTGTCTGAAATGGTATAGGGTTTCCTGCTTCAGCAGGGGGTTAGACTAGATGACCTCCAAGATCTCTTCCGGCTTTAGGATCCTATGAGCAGTGGGTGCTGCGGGTCGGGGTTGGGTTATAGTCCTGGTCTGCCTTTAGGGAGGTGGGTCTGTTGTTGGTGCAGAAAGATTCAGCCTCTTTCTCTCCTCTCCCACTGCGGGGCAGGCCAAAGTGATGGCTAACGAAGAGAAGAAGTTTCAGCAGCACATCCAGACGCAGCAGAAGAAAGAACTCAACAGCTTTTTGGAATCCCAGAAGAGAGAATACAAACTCCGCAAAGAGCAGCTCAAAGAGGTAAGGGGTGGGGATGGGGCGGAAAGGATTGATTTATTTGTTCATTGTCAGGGCCCCCCACACCACATGATCCTTCCAAGCTGAGCCCTTTATTGCTTATTACCCGTATTTAACAGTTCCTCGCAAAGGGTAAGCGAGAGATTCTTTCCGTCAACATCTGTCTCGGGAATCCAAAATCAAACTCCAGGTTCATTCCGTCTCCGAAAACCATCCAGTTTATTGAATACACTACAGGGGTTATGTCGAAGCAAAACTCACTCTGAGGTTTCAGTCCCGGTTCATAGACTTACTATAGGGATTCTTCTGACATCGTTTGCGTAATCTGTACCCCAACACGTAGGTTAAAAAAAAAATAGTTACTTCCATGCTAACGAAGCAAACAGCTCTAGCGGCTGGCATTCATAAAGACCTCGCTGCCTGGCACGTAGTCAGGAAATCCCGGTACCTAATCAAAAGTCCCTCCCAGTGGCCAGTCCGAACGCAGATATGATTTACATTTAGGCAAGAAAAACCAAATGCACAAGTACATGTAAATGGGGGAAAAAAGGGTGGAAGAATGGGGACTAAATAAATGATACTCTACCATAGTAAATTGGAAAAAAAAGATGATGGAATGTATTAGAGAAACAAATGCCTGTATATCAATGGATTCTACATTTAGGCAAGAAAAACCAAATGCACAGGTATAGTATAGGGGGTACCTTGCTCAATAGTAGTAACTGTGAGAGGAACCTCGGAGTCCTAGTAGACAATCACTTAAATAGGAGCCAGCCGTGTGCTGCAGCTGCCAAAAAGGCCAACACAGTGCTAGGCTGCATTGACAGAGGGATAGAATCAAGATCACGTGAAGTATTAATACCACTTTACAAGGCCTTGGTAAGGCCACACGTGGAATACGGCATCCAGTTTTGGTCACCACGATGTAAAAAAGATGTTGAGATTCTAGAAAGAGTACAGAGAAGAGCAACAAAGAGGATCAGGGGACTGGAGGCTAAAACATACGAAGAACTGTTGCTGGAATTGGGTATGTCTAGTTTAATGAAGAGAAGGACGAGGGGGGACATGATAGCAGTATTCCAATATCTCAGGGATTGCCCCAAAGAAGAGGGAGTCAAGCTATTTTCGAAAGCTCCTGAAGGCAGGACAAGAAACAATGGGTGGAAACTAATCAAGGAGAGAAACAACCTAGAACTAAGGAGGAATTTCCTGACAGTGAGAACAATTAACCAGTGGAACTCCTTGCCACTAGAAGCGGTGAATGCTCCAACACTGGAAGTTTTTAAGAAGAGACTGGACAGCCATTTGTCTGAAATGGTCTAGGGTTTCCTGCCTGAGCAGGGGTTGGACTAGATGACCCCCAAGGTCCCTTCCAACTTTATTATTATTATTACTATTATTATGACCAGATAACTTAAACTACATTACCCAGAAGGCTATCCCTTAAGGGGACAGTCCTTAATTCCTAAGATAGCTATATACTCTGACCAGCACGACGTTCACTTTGTTATGGGAACCGTCCGCTTCAGATCCCACACCTGTTCTGGTGTCCTTGAAAAGCTTTCAGGCTCTCTTCGGGTCTTCAGCTGAATCGCAGACGTTTCGTTTCTCCATCTAGCCCCCCTCGAAAGGAACGCCTCCCCCCCACCCTTAATCTAAAGGCAAGTTGAGTGGCGGAGGCCCGTAGCTGCCAACGTTTCGCCCCCGACACTTCCTTTCGGCCCCCTGGACCCGGCCGTGGCCATTTTGGTTTTCCCTGCGACGAGGGTCCCCTTCTTGCTTCCAGGAACTGAACGAGAACCAGAGCACCCCCAAGAAAGAGAAGCAGGAGTGGCTGTCCAAGCAGAAGGAGAACATCCAGCACTTCCAGGCAGAGGAAGAGGCCAACCTGCTACGGCGACAGAGGCAATACCTGGAGCTGGAGTGCCGGCGCTTCAAGAGAAGGATGCTGCTGGCCCGCCATAATTTGGAGCAGGATCTTGCCCGGGAGGTGCGTCTGGGGCCCCCGGGAGGAGACGAGGTCCTGGGGAGCCATGGATCCATGCAGAGGGGTTCTTAGCTCCCCTGGCGGTCCTGGTTACTTAGACCTTGGGTTTTGTAAGAGAGAATAGGTCCTTGACTTAAGGACTGGCCGCTCAGCACCCATTCAAAGTTACGACCAACCTCCCTAAAATCTACTTAGTGACTGGATGGACCAGGCTCCTCAATTCTTTCCTTCCTTCGTTTCTTCCTTCCCTCCTCCCTCCCTCCCTCCCCCTTCCTTCCTTCCTTCCTTCCTTCCTTCCTTCCTTCCTTCCTTCCTTCCTTCCTTCCCTTTCACTCCCTCCATCCCTCCCTCCTTTCCCCTCCTCCCTTTGTCCTCCCCTCCCCCTACTCCTCCTTTCTCCCCCTCCCCATCCTCCCCCTTCCCCTCCTCCTCCCCCTCCCCTTCTCCTCCTCCTCCCCCTCCCTTCTAGCACTGTTGATGTTCCCTAGTGGGGTCATGAAATGTCTGCAAGGAAACCGCCCAGCTCAGAGAGCACCACGGACCCCACAGTTCCCTTTCTCCTTCTTTCTTCTCTTTCTTTTTCTCCTTCTCTTTCTCTCCTCCTCTTCCTCTTCCTCCTCTTCCTTCTCCCTTCTAGCACTGTTGATGTTCCCTAGTGGGGTCATGAAATGTCTGCAAGGAAACCGCCCAGCTCAGAGAGCACCACGGACCCCACAGTTCCCTTTCTCCTTCTTTCTTCTCTTTCTTTTTCTCCTTCTCTTTCTCTCCTCCTCTTCCTCTTCCTCCTCTTCCTTCTCCCTTCTAGCACTGTTGATGTTCCCTAGTGGGGTCATGAAATGTCTGCAAGGAAACCGCCCAGCTCAGAGAGCACCCAGGACCTCACAGTCGTCGTCATCGTCGTCCTCCTCCTCCTCCTCCTCCTTCTTCTTCTACATCTTTCCTCCTCCTCCTCCTCCTCCTCCTCCTCCCTCCTAGCACTGATGATGTTCCCTAGTTGGGTCATGAAATGTCTGCAAGGAAACCACCCAGCTCAGAGAGGACCCAGGACCCCACAGTCCTCCTCCTCCCTTCCCCTCCCCCTCTTCCTCCTCCTTCCCCTCCCCCTCTCCCTCCTAACCCTCCTCTTCCCCTTCCTCCTCCCCCTCCCTTTCTCCTCCTCCTCCTGTATACGCAGAGAGCAAATCCACTCCACTTCCAGCCCTGAAGATGTCACCTAGTTGGGTCACGAAATATCTGCGAGAAAACCCCCCCCCCCAGCTCAGAGAGCACCAGGGACCCCACAGTCCTCCTCCTCCTCCTCCTCCTCCCTGCAAACCCCACACTCCCTTCTAGCACTGATGAGATTACCTAGTTGGGTCACGAAATGTCTGCGAGAAAACCCCCCAGCTCAGAGAGCACCAGGGACCCCCCCTCCCACCGTCAGACCTTAGGCATCTGCTGACAGTCGCAAGCAAAGCATCCTCTCAGTGGCCTACCTGTGCGGGAGGTGGGTGGGCAAATGCCGGCCCCTCTTGTATTCACTGCCATTGGGATGGGGCCTGTGTTGACCCCCCTGTGTCCCAGCTCCTGTCTCAGCCCGCCAGGCAGATTCCTAGTCTTGGCCTCCTCTCCTCCCTCCCCCCTCCCTGCCCCTCTCCGGGGCCGAGCAGCCCCCTCCCTAAGCGCCCCTCTCTCGAACCCAGGAGCTGAACAAGAGGCAGACCCAGAAGGACCTGGAGCATGCCATGTTGCTGCGCCAGCACGAGTCCATGCAGGAGCTGGAGTTCCGGCATCTGGGCACCATCCAGAAGATGCGCTGCGAACTCATCCGGCTGCAGCACCAGACTGAGCTGACCAACCAGCTGGAGTACAACAAGCGCCGGGAGAGGGAGCTGAGGCGGAAGCACGTCATGGAGGTCCGGCAACAGCCCAAGAGTTTGAAGGTACCTTTTTCCCCGGGGGGGGGGGAGTGGGGTGGGTCACGGACTGGATGGCCCAGTGGGTAGAATGCAGTACGGCAGGCTGCTTGGGCTGACGGCATTTCAGCAGTTCGTACCTGACCAGCTCGAGGTTGACTCAGCCTTCCGTCCTTCCGAGGTCAGTAAAATGAGGACCCAGATTGTTGGGGGCAAATAGGCTGACTCTGTACACCGCTCAGAGGGGGCTGTAAAGCACTGTGAAGCGGTATATAAGTCTAAGTGCTATTGCTTGTGGAGAGAGGGAGGGAGGGAGGGAGGGAGGGAGGGAGGGAGGAAGGAAGGAAGGAAGGAAGGAAGGAAGGAAGGAAGGAAGGAAGGAAGGAAGGAAGGAAGGAAGGAAGGAAGGAAGGAAGGAAGGAAGGAAGATGAGAACTAAGGGAAATGAGAAGGAAGGAAGCCATGGTGGCACAGTGGCTAGAGTGCCTTATTGCAGCCTGACTCTGCCCACTGCCAGTAGTTCGATCCTGACCGGCTCCAGGTTGACTCAGCCTTCCGTCCTTCCGAGGTCGGAAAAATGAGGACCCAGATTGTTGGAGGCAAATAGGCTGACTCTGTACACCGCTCAGAGGGGGCTGTAAAGGATCATGAAGCTGTTTATAAGTTTGCTACTGCTTGGGAAGGAGGGAAGGAAGAAAGGAAGGAAGGAAGGAAGGAAGGAAGGAAGGAAGGAAGGAAGGAAGGAAGGAAGGAAGGAAGGAAGGAAGGAAGGAAGGAAGGAAGGAAGATGAGAAGTAAGGGAAACAAGGAGGAGAAGGAAGGAAGCCATGGTGGTGCAGTGGTTAGAGTGCCTTATTGCAGGCTGACTCTGCCCACTGCCAGCAGTTCAATCCTGACTGGCTCACGGTTGACTCAGCCTTCCATTCTTCCAAGGTTGGTAAAATGAGGACCCAGATTGTTGGGGGCAAATAAGCTGACTCTATAAACCGCTTAGAGAGGGCTGTAGAGCACTGTGAAGCGGTATATAAGTCTAAGTGCTGTTGCTTGTGAATGGAGGGAGGGAGGAAGGAAGGAAGGAAGGAAGGAAGGAAGGAAGGAAGGAAGGAAGGAAGGAAGGAAGGAAAAGGAAAACGAGAAGAAAGAAAGAGAAATGAGGAGGAGAAGGAAGGAAGCCGTGGTGGTGCAGTGGTTAGAATGCAAGTATTGCAAGCTGATTCTGCCCACTGCCGGGAAGTTCGATCCTGACCGGCTCACGGTTGACTCAGCCTTCCGTCCTTCCAAGGTGGGTAAAATGAGGACCCAGATTGTTGGGGGCAAATAGGCTGACTCTGTCAACTGCCTTCTTCATCCGCTGCACACTCAGCTGGGCCTGGCACCTCAAATGTCTTCGGTTAAACCCATCATCGGCCAAGGCAGGCACGCAGGATCCACTCTGCTCTTCCCTCTGCTGGAGGTTCCCATTCTGCTGGAAAACAGATGGGGCAGAGATCCCGCTTTGGGCTTCCTGCCTACCTGCCTCTTTTGTCCCCTTTTCCTCCCAGTCGAAGGAGCTCCAGATCAAGAAGCAGTTCCAGGACACCTGCAAGATCCAGACCCGCCAGTACAAGGCCCTGCGCAACCACCTGCTGGAGACCACGCCGAAGAGCGAGCACAAGGCCGTCCTGAAGCGGCTGAAGGAGGAGCAGACCCGCAAGCTGGCCATTCTGGCCGAGCAATATGACCACAGCATCAACGAGATGCTGTCCACGCAAGCGGTGAGCAGCTGCCTGCCTGCCTGCCATGGCTTCTTCATGAGCAGCGCTCGAGTCTTTCCCAACATTGGCCCCTTTGAAATAGGTGGACTTCCACTCCCAGAATCCCCCAGCCAGCCTGCTTTAAGAGGGGTGGGCTTCCACTCCCAGAATCCCCCAGCCAGCCTGCTTTAAGAGGGGAGGAGTTCCACTCCCAGAATCCCCCAGCCAGCCTGCTTTAAGAGGGGTGGGCTTCCATCCCAGAATCCCCCAGCCAGCCTGCTTTAAGAGGGGTGGGCTTCCAGAATCCCCCAGCCAGCCTGCTTTAAGAGAGGTGGGCTTCCACTCCCAGAATCCCCCAGCCAGCATGCTTTAAGAGGGGTGGGCTTCCACTCCCAGAATCCCCCAGCCAGCATGCTTTAAGAGAAGTGGGCTTCCATTCCCAGAATTCCCCAGTCAGCCATGCTTTAAGAGGGGTGGGCTTCCACTCCCAGAATTCCCCACAGCATCCTTTAAGAGGGGTGGGCTTCCATTCCCAGAATTCCCCAACCAGCCTGCTTTAAGAGAGGCGGACGTCACCTCCCAGAATCCCCTAGCCAGCATCTTATAAGATGGCGGGTTTCAGTTCCCAGAATCCCCCAGCCAGCCTGCTTTAAGAAGGTTGGACTTCCACTCCCAGAATCCCCCAGCCAGCATGTTTTAAGAAAGGTGGATTTTCATTCCCAGAGTCCCCCAGCCAGCCTGCTTTAAGAGGGGCGGGCTTCCACTCCCAGAACCCTCCAGCCATCACGCTTCAATATACATGCCCATCGATTCCCACGCCGGCTGGGGAATTCTGGGAGTGGGCGTCCTACCCTCTTAACGAACGGGGCCCAAAGGCTGAGCATCCTTCCCTGGAGCCGGCCTGCCATGCCCACCCCTCCCGCCTTGCCTTCCAGCTGCGTCTGGACGAAGCCCAGGAAGCGGAGTGCCAGGTCTTGAAGATGCAACTGCAGCAGGAACTGGAGCTGCTCAACGCCTACCAGAGCAAGATCAAGATGCAGGCCGAGGCGCAGCACGAGCGGGAGCTGCGGGAACTGGAGCAGAGGGTCTCCCTGCGTAGGGCCCTCCTGGAACAAAAGGTACGGCGGGCAGGCGCCCGGAGCCGCCTTCTGCCCCTCCTGCCTGGCTGGCTGCATTCTCCTCCGGCGAAGACCCCCCTGAGAGGTTGCGGGTCAGTGGTGGCCCCCGTTTCCCAACAATTCCCCTTTCGCCCTCCGCGCACCGCCACAATGGAGAGCACAAGGTCCGTTGCTAAGCGAGGCGGCGGTTAAGGGAGACCGCCTGGTTTTACGACCCTTTCTCGCCACGCCGGTTCAGCCCTGATGTTGTGAAACGCATCGGGCCGTCATTAAGCGAATCCAGCTTGTCCCTGGACCTCGCTTCTCGGAAGCCGGCTGGAGAGATCACAAACGGTGATTCCCACGACCCGGGGATGCCGCAGCTTGTCCGAAATACAGTTAGTGGCCAAAATGGTGGAAACCTTTGGTTCAATTTCCACCCATTTTGCTTCTAGTTTCTTTATAACTGTAGCCCTGTAGCACCCAGCACGGAGGGTTCCCGGCTGAGAAGGCATCCTTTGTTCAGTAGAACGGGCCCCACCTGGCCAAGGGGAAAAGCAGGGGGGTCTCTAGGTCAAGGCTTTGCAACCATTGGCCCCTGGCAGGGGGTACGCGACCATCCCAGGAAAGTGGTAGCGGGGAAGGGGAATGAGCTGAACCGGGGGCAGCACCGCACAAGCCTGAGCGAGAGACGGCTGGAGCTGCAGGGCTGTCAGGGCTCAGCGGAAGCCCCAGGATCAGTGCCAGGCTCCAGCTGGAGCTCAGCGCTGATCCTGGTGCTTCTGCTGAGCCCAGAAGAATCACCAATCAGCTGGAAAGCAGCACTGATCCTGACGCTTCTGAAGAAGCACCAATCAGCTGGAACGTTGCAGCCTCTCCAGGGTCTTGTGATTTACACTCAGATGCTTGACAACTGATTCATATTTATGACGGTCACAGTGTCCCAGGGTCATGGGAAGGGACCAAAACCTGCTGCAACCACCCAGCAGACGGGGGGGGGGAATAAAAACCAAACACCCCCCACCCCATCCTTGCTGCCAATCCCCAACAGAAATGCTCACAACAATGGAAACCTCGGATAGGAGGAAGAGCACCGCCGGGCGGGCAGGCAGGTGTCTTGCTCGGCTGTGGCTCGGGGGGCACTTTTTTCAGTGCCATTGTAACTTCGAACAGTCACTAAGCGAACTGTTGTAAGTCGAGGACTACCTGTGCTTTATCACTTTTTTCCTTTTTTTGGTCATCAAGTTTTTGACACCTTGCTAGGCGACGGGTGGTCCTCGGATGTTGCCATATCCTGAAAGCATCTTATAAGATGGCGGATTTCAGTTCCCAGAATTCTCCAGCCAGAGTGCTTTAAGAAGGTTGGACTTCCACTCCCAGAATCCCCCAGCCAGCATGTTTTAAGAAAGGTGGATTTTCATTCCCAGAGTCCCCCAGCCAGCCTGCTTTAAGAGGGGTCGACTTCCACTCCCAGAACCCTCCAGCCATCACGCTTCAATATACATGCCCATCGATTCCCAAGCCGGCTGGGGAATTCTGGGAGTGGACGTCCTCCCCTCTTAACGAACGGGGCCCAAAGGGTGAAAAGGTTGAAAAGCCCTGCTCTGGGCCTCCCCAAAAGCAGGTCTGGCCTCTTGGGGTAACAGCTTCTCCCCCTCTCCCCCTTCTCTCCCGATTTCTTTCCTGTCCAGATCGAGGAAGAGATGCTGGCTCTGCAGAACGAGCGCACGGAGCGGATCCGAGGCCTGCTGGAGCGCCAGGCGCGGGAAATCGAGGCCTTTGACTCGGAGAGCATGCGCCTGGGCTTCAGCAACATGCTGCTGTCCAACCTCTCCCCGGAGGCCTTCAGCCACAGCTACCCCGGAGCGTCTAGCTGGTCCCACCACCCTTCGGGCGGGCCGGGCCCTCCCTGGGGACACCCCATGGCAGGCCAGCCTCAGGCCTGGGGCCACCCCATGCAAGGGGGACCCCAGCCGTGGGGCCACCCCTCAGGGCCCCTGCAGGCCGTGCCTCGGGGTGGCTCGCTCGGGGTCCGTAACAGCCCCCAGGCCCTGAGGCGGACGCCTTCCGGGGGACGGACAGAGCCCGCCATGAGCCGCAGCGCCAGCGTCACCTCGCAAATATCCAATGGGTCGCATATGTCTTACACATAATACCTTCCGTTCGGTGCCCCCCGTACGGGTGGGCCGCCCTGCCGGGGCCATCTGCCCGCCCACAGGAACTGCTGACAAGGCCTCTTCCCCCCTCCCCGGGAACCGGCCCCGGGCAGCGCAGGCTCGGGGGGGGGGCCCGTCTCGCGCGGCGAGCGTTGCCTTCCGCGCTTGCTATTTGGGATGTCATAGTATTTGGCCGTAGTGTGGCTCTCTCACCTGACCCGCACCGGCTTTAAGGAAGCTACGTGCAGGCGGGGAGGGGTGTGTGGATACTCCCCACCTTTCCCCCCCCAGCTCTATGGGGAGAGGGGGGTCCCCGCTTCTCCAGGAGGAAGGTGAGAGGATTCCCCCTTTTCCTTTGTCCGGGGTGTCTGGAGTCCCAGCTCCCTTGCGCCCGTATCGGTTCAGCTGCCCCTCCACACCTCTGGGGGTGCTTCCTTGTAGGGAGGGGCCCAGGGGAAGTGCCTCCCCGGGACCTTGCCCGCCAGAAGAGGCTGGGGTCGCGCACCCACCCCCAGGCCCGCGGCCGTCTGCGCGCTCTCCGTTGCACTACGATGCGCAGCCGTGAGAATTTCCGGGCGCACCCGCGACGGCTTGGACAGAACTGCACTAGTCAAACGCACCTGCTCGAACCCTCTCTGCGGGTCGGCCCCAGGGGCCGAGGGGCGTGCGAGTGAGCGTGTGTGCATGCACACAGGAGGGGGCGAAGTGGGGAGGGGGGGCATGAGAGCCTTTTTAGGGCTTAATACTGTGACATCTCACCGCAGTTCAGCCTCAGAACACCGTGCCGGAGCCACGGCCCCGGCCGATGCCCCTGCTCTCTTTCCGAACCGTTCCGGCCTGCAGCCAACCGCGCCCAGACGCCGGAGGTCTTGTGAACGATGCCATAAGTCGCCCCTAAGCCTCCTCCCAGAGACCAGGGGCGGGGGGTCTCTGCTCCTGACACTACGTTTGCCAGTTTTTTTTTATTGGGCTTGCCACATTATTATTATTATTATTATTGTTATTATTTTTCTCGTTTACATGTCAAACCGCAACCGTCGTAGGTGTTTGACTTGCCACGGGGAGTCCCGGCTCTTCTGCTGCTGCTGCTGTCGCCACTGGAGACGTTGGTCATGGGCGGTGCCAGTCCTTGCCAAGCCCGTGGCGAGTGGGCACCGCGGTTTCTGCAGGCCCCTCGGCAAGAGACGCGGCCTCCGAGGAGCCACGCGGGGCCCCCGGGGGCCCCAGAGGGAGCTGGCTCGGGGTCGGGGGTCCCTTCCGTGCCACTGCAGGGAAGGGGGTCCCTGTGGGGCACCCGCGGGATCCCCGGGAGCAGTTGGCCTTCAGCTCGGTCAAGTTACTACCAGCTGCCCCCCCCCCCAAAACCCGGCATTCTGTTGTACATTATTTTCCTTGCACACTTTAAGCAAACACTAGCTACTAACTTTAGGATTTGCCTTTTAACACACCTGTAGGGCTGAGAAATATTAAAAGGTTTTATTTTTTTTTTAAATGTCTCTCCGTGACATACCTGTATAGAAGAATATACTCTCGTGTGTGTCACACTTTTTTGATCTTTTTTTTTTTTAATCGGTGTGACTTTTAATTTAGCTAAATTAAAAACACACACACACACACACATCACTCCAGCTCCTTTGGTTCGGCTGTATCTTCCTTCCCCCCCTCCCCCGCATCCCACTTTGGCTTCGGACTGGGGAGGACTGCCAGGAGCAGAAGAGGGCCTGGAGCCTGGCCTGAAAAAGGGGGGGGGGAAGAGTCAGAAGACCACCACCCCACCCACACACACTCCTGAATTGGGCACAGCTACAGTTGCCAATATGGAGGGGCAGGAGCAGCACAAGCCCCCCCCCCTTCGGGGTTGGCCTGCCTCTTACCAGTCCTGAGATTGCTGTGAGCTCTCTTTTGGGGTGAAGTTGGGGGGGGGCTGTTCAGCCAATGAACACTGCAAGTAGGAGGGGAGGGCAGTGACCCCGCAGCCCATCGTCCCCGACCGAGGCCGGCCAAGCTTAAAACTCTCCGTCGGCATCACCGGTGATCTGCTCAACTTGCCTGGTGGCATCTAGCTGTCCTCAAGATGCCTCCTTACGGCAATTGCCTCTTCCGGGACACAACCTAGGTCAGCAGGCACTCTGGACATGCCCAGTAGCCCACCTGCCCACCCTCCACCCACCCCTCGGAAGCTTTGCTTGCCTCAACAGCAAACAGATGCGACGTCGAATTTGACATTGGCGTTTTTTTTTTGTTGTTGCCAGGGAAGATTGCGATGGAAGCCATTTTCTCTCTCTCTCCCTCTTCCTCCTCCTCTTCCTCCCCCTCCCCACCATGTACACCATCCTGTGCCAGATTCCAGGCTCCCCATGAAATTAATCTTTTAAGTAAAAACAATTTGCCAAAACCCCACTCCGCTGCCTCGGTCTAAGTGTTTTTGGTGTGCGCTGCTGGTGCCGGTGTTCCTGCAGGCGTGTGCGCGAAAAGGAGAGTGTGTGTGTGTGTGTGGAGGGGGGGCGTCCTCCAGTTTCCATGGGGTTTCTGGAGAGTTGTAACGCAGGGAAGCAAAACAGATTTTCGGTAAGTGCTTTTTGATGGAATTTCTCCCACGCGACGGTTGGCCGCGTTAAACGGCTTTTGCTGAGACCCAGTTGTGAGTTTTCGGAATTGGTGTGTGAAATGGGTTTGGCGGGATTCCCCAGCTGCGCTTGGTTGCAATTGGAGGTCCCTGGCCTTGCCTTGCAAAACTTAATTCTGTTTTCTCTGAGCTGGGTGGTTTCCCTGCAGACGTTTCATGACCCAATTAGGCAACATCATCAGTGTTAGGGGGAGGAGGGTTGCTCTCTGTTTATTTGCAAGGGGTTTGCCAGTGGCTTGACGGTCAAGAGCAGCCTAATCAAGGATATGCCAAGAAGAGAACAACAATCCCACCAACTCTGACAGGGCACAGTATGTAAACAGTGCAGACTCCACTCCTTTGTAGCCCTGATGATGTTACCCAGTTGGGTCATGAAATGTCTGCAAGAAAACAGCCAAGCTCAGAAAGGACCAGGGACCCCACAGTCCTCTTCTAGAACTGATGATGTTACCCAGTTGGGTCAAGAAACGTCTGCAAGAAAACAGCCAAGCTCAGAGAGCACCAAGGACCCCACAGTCGTCCTCTCTTCCTCCTCCCTTCTAGCACTGATGATGTTGCCTAGTTGGGTCATGAAATGTGCAAGAAAACAGCCAAACCTCAGAGAGGACCAAGGACCAGTCCTCCTCCTATTCTAGAACTGATGATGTTGCCCAGTTGGGTCAGGAAACGTCTCCAAGAAACAGCCAAGCCCAGAGAGCACCAAGGACCCCACAGACCTCCCTCCCTCCCTCCCTCCCTTCCTTCCTTCCTTCCTTCCTTCCTTCCAGCACTAATGATTTTCCCTAATTGGGTCATGAAACGTCTGCAAGAAAAACCACCAAGCTCAGAGAGCACCCAGGATCCCAACAATTCAGGCCAGAGCATAAATCGTCTCTTCTGTTGATAATTCTTATTTTGTCTTTCCACTTTTATCTCAAGGGGTTTTTTTTTGTGGGGGAGGGCAAGAATTTTCCATTTATTTCCTAGCTGGTTTCCACTTAATAGTACATTAGTTTACAAGCTGGGTTCCTTCTGCACGTATTTAGCTAGCTAGCTGGTCTGCTCCAGTTTGTACAAACCAAAGATTTTTCTGAAAAAGTTGATCTGGTTGGGAGACGGTGCCCGTATTGATTCTACTGAATTGCTGGGCACTTTGGGGTTCGTTCTCAAAGGGCAAGACTTGGCACACCTGGGCCGTCTAAACAATCCCCACCGTTGTGGCAACCGACACAAGGTCTTCCCGCAGATTGTGGTTCCCTCGTTGCAGCTGCAAAACCCAGTGTTGCATCTTGGTTTTTCTCCCATTCTTCATCCCGGTGGTTGGAGACATTTGGGGACCACGGTCTGCTGTAAAAACACACAAACACACAATTGCCAAGGCACGCTGTGGCTTTTGGGGCCTCTGCCAGAGCTGGCCAAAGAATCTTGCAGGCCTTAAAGCGCCGAGCCCGAGGGGCAGCGGGCTTCAAATTTTAAAACGTTTCAGTAAGACGCCCCCCTACCCAAACTCTTCCCAAACTTTCAAACTGTTGAAAGAAAAATTGCCTTCCACCCACGTCGGGTGGGTGACCCACTGCCCTGGGGTGCAAAAAAGCTGATCCATTGATGTTCCCACAGCTCTCCCCTCCCCAATCCTGGGCCAGAGTGAACCCACAGTCAAGGATCTTCCGAAATTGTGGCTTTGTGATTCCTGAGGTTGGTGTGTGGGGGGGGGGGCTGCCACTGACCTGGATCAGGTCCCCTGGTCCTCCAAGCCCCCAGGCCCAGAGCAGGACCATCCTCTCTGTGAATGGGGCCTGTGGGGGGGGGGGTCTTGAAGTGCCCCAGATCTGTAACGTGAAGATACAGTTGCAATCTGAGTTGGGGTGGGGGCTTTAAGGAGAGTTGAGGCCGGATGAGGGGGGGAAGAGGGGGGTCCTGCCTCTCCCTCTCACCAAGTCTTTGCCAAGTGCCCGTTGAGGCCACACCTTGGCGTCTTGCGTCCAGTTGCGGTCACCACCGTACAAAAAAGATGTTGAGAGTCTAAAACGGGTCTTCCAACTTGGCCCTTTGATGACTTGTGGACTTCGACTCCCAGAATTCCTCAGCCAGCATGCACGCTGGCTGAGGAATTCTGGGAGTCGAAGTCCACAAGTCATCAAAGGGCCAAGTTGGAAGACCCCCGTTCTAGAAAAAAAAGAGTGCAGAGAAGAGCAACAAAGCCAACACAGTGCCAGGCTGCATTAACGGGGGTAGAATCAAGATCAAGCGAAGCGTTAATACCACTTTACAAGGCCTTGGTAAGGCCACACTTGGAATACGGCATCCAGTTTTGGTCACCACGATGTAAAAAAGATGTTGAGACTCTAGAAAGAGTACAGAGAAGAGCAACAAAGATGATTAGGGGACTGGAGGCTAAAACATATAAGGAACGGCTGCTGGAATTGGGAATGTCTACTTTAATGAAGAGAAGGACTAGGGGGGACAGGATAGCAGCCTTCCAGTATCTCAGGGGCTGCTCCAAAGAAGAGGGAGTCAAGCTATTCTCCAAAGTGCCTGAGGGCAGGATAAGAAGCAACGGATGGAAACTAACCAAAGAGAGAAGCAACCTGGAACTAAGGAGAAACTTCCTGACAGTGAGAACAATTAACCCGTGGAACAACCTGCCTCCAAAAGCAGTGAATGCTCCAACACTGGAAGTTTTAAAGAAGAGACTGGACAGCCATTTGTCTGAAATGGTTATTTATAGGATCTCCTGCTTGAGCAGGGGGATTGGACTAGAAAATCTCCAAGTCTCTTCCAGTCCTAGGATTCTATGATAAGGAAGGAAGGAAGGAAGGAAACTTAAGAATTTAATTACGTAATTGTAACATTTTAATTCTTTTTCTAGATGTCTTTTTATAATCTCTAAGCTGCCCAGAGTCGCTTTATAGGCGAGAAGGATGGCATCAAAAATTAATAAATAATAGTATAAAAAGCACTTGATTCCTAATGAACTACAATGTCACTTGATCCCATTTGGGATTGTAAACTGTAGAATGTCTTATTCCACAGACCAATTGGACATAATTATTTACAGAATTACAGTTAGAAGGGACCTGCCCAGGTAGGAAAGACATCACCATTTCGGACAAGTGACTGTCCAGTCTCTTCTTAAAAAGAAGAGCACTCACAGCTTCTGGAGGCAAGGAGTTCCACTGGTTAATTGTTCTTCTAACTGTCAGGAAATTTCTCTCCTTGATTAATTTTCATCCATTGCTTCTTGTCCTGCCTTCAGGTGCTTTGGAGAATAGCTTGACTCCCTCTTCTTTGGGGCAGCCCCTGAGATACTGGAATATTGCTATCATGTCCCCCCTCATCCTTCTCTTCGCTAAACTAGACAGACATTGATCCTGCAACCGTTCTTTGTATATTTCAGCCTCCAGCCCCCTGATCATCTTTGTTGCTCTTCTCTGCACTCTTTCTAGAGCAGACATGTCAAACACAAGGCCAGGGGGCCGCATGCGGCCCGCAAAGTGGTTTCATGTGACCCGCGAAGCCATCCTGGAAACAGTGAGGAACGGCCCCTGCTGCCTTGGCCCAGGCCGGCCGGGAGCCAATGTACGATTTTGTGGTGGCCATCTTGGCACTTGCCCCAGTGGACCATGCCTTGGCACTTCCCCCAGTCCCACCCCCTTCTGCCAGAGACCCTCAAATCTGTCCCACTGTGTTCAGTAGGTCAGCGGTTCAAATCTCACCGGCTCAAGGTTGACTCAGCCTTCCATCCTTCCGGGGTGGGTAAAATGAGGACCCAGATTGTTGGGGGCAATGTAAATATATATAATATACATTGCTTACTGGTGTACACCGCTTACAGAGTGCTCGCACTTAAAGCAGTATATAAGTCTCATAAATAAATAAATAAATAAACTGGCCACACCCACCCATAGGCCACACCCACTCCACGCCCACCCAGTAGGCTGCACCCACTGGCCACACCCACCCAGTCCCGCCCCCAGGGCAACCGCAATGCTGATGCGGCCCTCAGTGAAATTGAGTTTGACACCCCTGTTCTAGAGTCTCAGCATCCTTTTTTTGCATCGTGGTGACTACGAATTGTCGCAAAATTAAATCCTCCTCATTTATTAATTGTCCCAGAATTAAAGGCCCCTCTGGTTAAGCCGGTCTCCGATCTCGTCCACCTGGCAGGAGGCTTGCAAAATTGCAGGTGGTGATATATAATAATAATAAAGTCAGAAGGGGCCTTGAAGGTCATCTAGTCCAACCCCTCCCCCCCTCTCAGGCACGAAACCCTATACCATTTCAGCCAAATGGCTGTACAGTCTCTTAAAAACTTCTAGTGTTGGAGCATTCACAGCTTCTGGAGGCAGGTTGCTAATAATCATAATAAAGTTGGAAGGGACCTTGGAGGTCATCTAGTCCACCCCCCTGCTCAGGCAGGAAACTCTATATACCATTTCAGACAAATGGCTGTCCAGTCTCTTCTTAAAAACTTCCAGTGTGGGAGTTTTCACCGCTTCTGGAGGCAAGGAGTTCCGCTGTTGAATTGTTCTGACTGTCAAGGACATTTCTTCTTAGTTCTCGGTTTTTCCGATCCTGTTGGGATCTTTCCGCCTCGTAGGGGGTCTCCTGCTTAAGCAAGGGGTCAGACTAGAAGACCTCCAAGGTCCCTTCTTGCCATTTTGTATCTTTCCACCCCTTCGCATTGTACTCCAGTCTAGCAAGGAGGAGCGGAGCGCCCGCAGGGGAAACCCGCCCCGACTCCGCCCCGGCTAGGCTGGGCAGGGCCGGGCAGTGGGGCCGCCTCGGCCGGCCCGGAGGAGGAGGAGGAGGAGGGGGCGGCCAGGCCCGATGGGGGAGCCGCGGCCGCCTCCGGGGGCGCCGCTGCTGTTCTTCGTGCTGAGCCTGGCGGGCAACGGCGGCGGGCAGGTGAGGAGGGGGCGTCGGAGGCGGATGGGGAGGGGGCGTCGCTCTGCCCCCCTCCACGGAAAGGGGCAGCCCCCCCCCGGGGTTCGCGTCGGCCCGGGAGGGGCTTCGCGGCTGTGCGGAGGAGGCCCTGCGGGACTCCGGGTCGGGGGTCTTTCCCGGGGAGCGAGCAAGAGACATGTCTGCTTTCCCACGACCTTTGCCGCCACGTGTCGCGCGGGCCCGCTCCGCCTGTCGGGCAGCCCGGATGGGGGCTCCTGCGAGTCCTGCGGAGCAAAGGTTTTTCAGAAAGGACTGGACTGAAACGGGAGAGGGATCTCACTGCTCGAGCAGGGGGCTGGACTAGAAGACCTCCAAGGGCCCTTCCAGATTCTATTCTATTCTATTCGGGGGCGAAGGCAGCGTAAGGGCGACCGAGGGGGGGGAAGGAAAGGCGCCTCCCCCCGCCTCCCCACTGCAGGGAAGGTGGAGCCCACACACACACACACACACACACACACACACACACACACACACACCCGGGAAAAGTGTCCGGGGTGGTATGGATGCCCTCAAGTGACCCAGGGTTTCTAGACCGGGAGAATCCTCACGTTGCTGTACCCACGTGGTCCTTCCGTTTTACAAATCGGCTAATGGAATGGACAGCCCCTAGAGGACTAGATACTTGTCCACAGAAGTGGGCCTGAGAAGGGGGAGGGGCCGTTTAGGCGGGGGGGGCGTTGGGGGGGGAGGGGCCGGCTTGGTCTCGGAGCTTCTGCCCGAGGGGCGTCTTCAGCCCCGCCCTTGGAGGGTTCGGACAGGGGGGAGGGGCAAAGGAGTAGGCGGACCCAGGCTGAGCCCCTCCTATCCTGCCCCCATTCCTCCCCCCCCCCACCCACCCAGCAGCCCTGCCCCATCGCTTGTCTGCTTTGGGTGGGGGTCCCTTCCTTCCTTCCTTCCTTTTGCTTCCTTTTTCTCCTTCCTGCATTCCTTCCTTCCTTTTGCTTCCTTTTTCTCTTTCTCCTTCCTGCATTCCTTCCTTCCTTTTGCTTCATTTTTCTCTTTCTCCTTCCTGCATTCCTTCCTTCCTTTTGCTTCCTTTTTCTCTTTCTCCTTCCTGCATTACTTCCTTCCTTTTGCTTCCTTTTTCTCTTTCTCCTTCCTGCATTCCTTCCTTCCTTTTGCTTCCTTTTTCTCTTTCTCCTTCCTGCATTCCTTTTTTTCCTTCCTTTTCGCTTCCTTTTCTCTCTATTTTTCTTTTATCTTTTTTTTCTCTCCTGTTCTTTCACTCCTTCCTTTTTTCTTTCTCCTTCCTTCCTTCCTGTTTTCTTTATCTCCCTTAATCTCTCTCCTTTTTCTTTTTCTCTCTCTCCTTTCCTTTCACTTCTCTCTGTCCTTTCTCCCGTTCTTTCTCTCTTTCATTTTTCTTTGTCCTTCCTTTCTCTTTTTTTTATCTCCCTTCTCTCTCCCGCCCTTTCTCTTTTCCCTCCCTCTCTCCTTCCTTCCTTCCTTCCTTTCTTTCTTTCTTTCTTTTATTTCTCTATCTGTCTGCCTACCTGCCCTCCCTCTCTCTGTCACACACACACACACACACACACACACACACACCTCCCCCACAGAGGAAATCTGGGCAGTGTACAAACAAAACGTTAAAAGCCTAAAAACAGTATCCAACCTCCCAAAGGAATCTTAGGAATTAATTCAGAGGTGGAGGGGGGACGGGGGCTTTCAGACCACTAACCAGCCCCACTGCTGCCTCTTCCTCTGGGCACCCCAAGCAGGACTTTTGGGAGAGAAGAAAAACACCCCCAAATTCTCCAAGCCACCTGCCCAGTTCGTGTACCCCCTTGGGCTTTCCTGGATAAACCAGGTGGATTTTAAGACCCAGCGACCGAGTTCTTTTTTGCTGGCCTACCGGACTTTGTTTTCTGCTTGTATTTCTGAAATGTCTGGGGAGGGGGGCGTTTCCCTTCCTCCCCATTGGCTGCCTGCAAAGCCAAAAGACCCTCCTTCTATGCCCTGGACCAATCAGCGGCTGCCCAGCTGGCAGTCGCAGTCTCTTCCCAACTTGCCAAGCCAAGTTGGCAGTGCCACCTGTTTCCCGCAGAGATGCCAGGGGTCCAGCTAGATCTGTTGCAAGGGGGCTGAGCCTTGGCACGCTTCTCCCCGGGGACAAAGCCCACCCCCCGCCCCCCCTCTTTGAGAAAGACCATCCCCCCCCAAAAGCCAAAATCAGGAGCTGCCCAAAAGCCAGAGACTGGCATCAGGGCTGGGAAAAGGGCTTTCAAATCTTCCAACTCCTATGCAAATAATCCTATTACACACACACACACACACACACACACACAGATATCCTTTCTTCTCAGAGCAGATTGCACTTTATTTCAAGCGGCGTTTCTCAGCTGGAGAACCTTTAAGATGGGTGGACGTCAACTCCCAGAATTCTCCAGCCAGCTATGAATTCTGGGAGTTGGCCCACCCATCTTAAAAGCCTCAAACAGCTGGCTGGAGAATTCTGGGAGTTGAAGTCCACGCAGGGAGGAAACTCTATCCAGGGGTAGGCAAGTCTCCGAGTCTTTTATGACTCGTGGACTTCAACTCCCAGAATTCCTCAGCCAGGATGCTTTAAGATAGGGGCCTTCCAACTTGGCCGTTTTAGGACTGATGGACTTCAACCCCCAGAATTCCTCAGCCAGGAGGCTTTAAGACAGGGATCTTCAAACTTGGCTCTTTTATGACTGGTGGACTTCAACTCCCAGAATTCCTGAGCCAGAATGGGGGAACTATGGCTCCTTCGTGACTGGTGGACTTCAACTCCCAGAATTCCTGAGCCAGCATGGGGAAAACTATGGCCCCTTTGTGACTCGTGGACTTCAACCCCCAGAATTCCTCAGCCAGGAGGCTTTAAGACAGGGATCTTCAAACTTGGCTCTTTTATGACTGGTGGACTTCAACTCCCAGAATTCCTGAGCCAGCATGGGGGAACTATGGCTCCTTCGTGACTGGTGGACTTCAACTCCCAGAATTCCTGAGCCATCCATGGCTCAGCTTGGAAAACTCTCCCTTTCCCCTCAAGCATGGCTGGCTCGGGAATTCTGGGAGTTGAAGTCCATGAGTCATAAAAGAGCCAAGGTTGCCTACCCCTGGGCTATACCATTTCAGACAAATGGGGGCGGTGTCTTTACCAGGAGGCCAACTCTCTCTCCCCTCCCCATCGTCCTTCTGTTCCTCCCTGCTTTTAACTAGGTCTTCCTCGCCCAATTCTGCCCACTTTGGCCATTGTCCCCCTCCCCAGAGTGTGGGTGAGGGCTCCTCTCGTTGAGACCTTGGGGGACAGGAATGGGTGACCCCCCCCCTCTTTCCGCTCTCTCTTCAAGCCCCTTGCCCGGATCCCCCGGGGCACCATCCTGCACACCCCCAAAGTCGAAGTGGCCTTCGCTGCCCCTGGGTGGGAGACGCACCTCCATCATCGGTGGCTGCAGAAGGCGATGGGCAGAGGTGCGTGCCCAGCACAGCAGGTAAAATGGGGGGGGAGAACAGTTTGGGGGGTCACGGGGAAGGAAATGAGATATGTTTGGTATAGAATAGAAGTAGAATAGAACAGAACAGAATAGAATAGAAAATAATAATAGAATATAATAGAAAATAATAATAGAATAGAATAGAACAGAACAGAACAGAATAGAACGGAACGGAACAGAACAGAATAGAATATAGAAAATCAGTGGAATAGAATAGAATAGAATAGAATAGAATAGAATAGAATAGAATAGAATAGAATATAGAAAATTAATGGAATAGAATAGAATAAGAAATAAAATAGAATAAGAAATAGAATGGAATAGAACAAAGAAAGGAATAGAAAATAGAATAGAAAATAGAATAGAATAGAATAGAATAGAATAGAATAGAATAGAATAGAATAGAATAGAATAGAATAGAATAATGGAATGGAATGGAATAGAAGAGAACAGAAAATAGAATAGAAAATAATAGAATAGAATAGAAAATAATAGAATAGAATAGAAAATAATAGAATAGAATAATAGAATGGAATGGAATAGAAGAGAACAGAAGAGAACAGGAAATAGAATAGAAAATAATAGAATAGAATAGAATAGAATTAATTAGTGACCGTTCAAAGTTACACTGGCGCTGAAAAAAGCGACTGGTGACTGTTTTTCATGCTTTACGACCGTAGCCGCATCCCCATAGTCATGTGATTAAAATCTGGCCACTGGATCCTATTTATGACGGTCGCAACGTCCCAGTGATCCCCTTTTGCGACCTTCTGACCAGCAAAGTCAATGGGGATGGGTGGGAAGCCGAATTCTCTTAACACCCGTGCGACTAGCTTAACCATGCAGTGATTCGCTTAACAGCAAGAAAGGTCATAAAAGGGGGCGAAACTCAGTTAACGACGGACTCACTTCGCAAGAGAAATTTGGGGCTTAGTTGCAGCTGTAAGTCGAGAATGTACCTCAGGTCTTCAAAGTGGGCCACTTTAAGACGTGTGGACTTCAACTCCCAGAATTCCTCAGCCAGCCCTCAGGGCTGGCTGAGGAATTCTGGGAGTTGAAGTCCACAAGTCTTAAAGTCGCCAACTTTGAAGGCTCCTGATGTGGCTCAATCTGTTTTTCATTTCCTCACCCCCCCAACCTTTACCTCCAGAAGCTACTCCCCCTCTGGGAAAGGCTGCCAGCGGTTCAGCAGTTCCGGACATACGGACGGCTTCGACGCGCCGTTTTCCTCCCTCGGTTTGCTCCGACGGGCACCAAGAGACTAGCAGAAAAAGCTGGCCGTGCCCTGGAGGAGGAAAGACTCTTGAGCCGAGCTCGGCCCAACTTTCACGACGGGAAAGACTCTTTGAAGCCGGCCCGAAGGACCCCCCCGAATCAGCTGGGCGATGCCAGTGAGGTGCCCGAGCATCGCTCGGCCACCAAACCAGGTGGACAACCACCGCTGCCCAGCGTAGCCACGGAGGCTGGGGCAGCGCACGAAGCCGGATGCCGGTGCCCGGACAGCCAGCGGGCTACGGTGGCAGCCCGTGCCTTGGAGGCAGGGCAGGAGGGTCTCCGTGTGCCCACTCCCCGGACAGAGGAAGCAGCCTGGGCTGCCAGCGCCCTGACGTTCTTGCTGGTGCTGCTGACGCTGGCCGTGCTCTACACCCGTCTGCACCAGAAGTGCCGACGCGGGCCGAGTCTCTACTGGATGACCGGCGGAGAGGAGGGGCACGAGACAGTGGCTGGTAAGTCCGGGCCGGGAGGGCCGTGTGACCCCCCAGGGGGGAGGGAGAGGCAGCTGCGCCCGATTTGGGAGCGTTTGCGGAAGAGTCCTCGCCTTAACAACTGCAATGGAGTCGAGGTTTAATGACCGCCTGAGTCGCCTGAAGCGGTGCGGCGATTCGCTTTAATGGCGACCGTGGCTGGCAAGGTCCCAAGATCGGACGCTGCTCGGGAACCGCTTCGGTTAGCAACTGAACGTCCCCGTTGAGGTCGTAAGTGGAGGAGGACGGCTCGTGTTGAGGACAGGAGTGGAAGTGGTAAAAAGGGGGCGCCGTCTGAGCGCCACGGCAAATGCCAGCCGGACCAGTCCGTCTCGACCTATGGCTGCTTTGAGAGGATCTCCCAGAATGCCCCTGCCAGCTGAAAAAGCACTCCACTGTCCCCTGCATCCCCCCCCCCAGTGATTTCTTCATAGGGCAGCCAATTAGCAAGCTCAGCCCCACTGCAGACCCCACCAACCGGGGGCGGGGGGAATCTTCCAATGGATGCTGGCAGCACTGTTGGCTTTCCAGAATCAGGGAAAGGGCAGAATCGGCTGGCCGGTGGTAGTTGGTGCCACCCTCTGATGCCATCTCCCTCCTTCTCTCCCTTTCTCACTTGTTTCCTTCTTTCCTGCATCCCTCCCTCTCTCCCCTTTCTCTTCCTTCCTTCTGTCCTTCCTCCATCCCTCCTCCCCGTTTTCCCTTCCTTCCTTCCCTCCCATCTTCCTTTCTCCCTTCCTCTCTCCTTCTCTTATTTCCTTCTGCATATTCCTTCTTCCCTCCCATGTCCCTTTTCTTTCCTTCCTTCCTCTCTCCCCGTATTTGCTTCCTGATATTCCTTCCTTTCCCATCTCCTTTCCTTCCCTCTCCCTCCTTCCTTTTCTCCCATCTCCTTCCTTCCTTTTCTCTGCCTCCTTTCCTTCCTTTCCTCCCTCCCAACTTTCTTTTGCTCTCCGCTTCCCTTCCTCCCTCCCTCCCATCTTCCTTCTCTCCCTGCTTCCCTTCTTCCCTTCCTCCCATCTTCTTCCTCCCTCCCTCCCATCTCCTTCCTCCTTCCTTCCATCTCCTCCCTCCCTCCCTTCTTCCCATCTCCTTCCTTCCTTTCCTTCCATCTCCTCCCCTCCCTTCCTCCCATATTCTTCTTCCTTCCCTCCCTTCTATCTCCTTCCTTCCTCCCTCTCTCCTCCTTCTTCGCTCCCTCCCATCTCCTCCCTCCCTCCTTCCCATCTCCTTCTTCCCTCCCATCTCCTCCCTCCCTCCCTCCCTCCCTCCCATCTCCTTCCTTCCTCTCCTCCCATCTCCACCCTCCCTCCCTCCCATTTCCTTCTTCCCTCCCTCCCATCTCCTCCCTCCCTTCCCTTCCTCCCTCCCTCCCATCTCCTTCCTCCCTCCCTCCCCCTCCCTCCCATCTCCTCCCTCCCTTCCTCCCATCTCCTTCCTTCCTCTCTCCTCCCATTTCCCTTCTTCCTCCCTCCCATCCAGCATCCCTACCCTTTTCCCTTACCTCCCTCACGATCCCTCCCTCCCATCTCCTTCCTTCCTTCTTTCCTCCCTCCCTCCTTCCCTCCCATCTCCTTCCTTCCTCCCTCACTCCCTCCCATCTTTTTCCTCCCTCCCTCCCATCTCCTTCCTTCCTTCTTCCTCCTTCCTTCCTTCCTCCCTTCCCTCCCCCTCCCATCTCCTTCCTTCCTCCCTCCCTCCCTCCCATCTCCTTCCTCCCTCCCTCCCACCCATCTCCTCCCTCCCTCCCTCCCATATTGTCTTCCCTCCTTCCCATCTCCTTCCTTCCTCTCCTCCCATCTCCCCTCCCTCCCTTCCTCCCATATTCTTCTTCCCTCCCTTCCTCCCTCCCTCCCATCTCCTCCCTCCCCGCAGCCGTCATGAAACACCGCTTCTTCTCGCGTCACCGACGGGCCAAGCGCTCACGGCAGCCACTTCAGCAGCCACGGATGCTCCTGCCCGGCTCCTCCAGCGACGACGACAGCTCCTCTGCGTGACTGACGGCCTCGCCCGGCCTGGCCTGCCTGGAGGGACCGCCAGCCCCGAGCCCACCAGCCAAGGGGGCTTGGGACTCACCCTCTGCCTTCTTTTTTTCCTTACTCAATAAAATATATTTTCCTACGTACAGCTGCCCGCAGCATCGCCCCCCCCCCGATCTTCGCCCCCTGCTTCAGCTGGCACAGGGTTCAAATTGCCCCGTCCCCAGCTGGCAAACCACGTTTTAATCTGCTGCATAGAATCCTAGGGCCGGAAGGGACCTCAAGAGGTCATCTAGACCAACCCCCCCTACCCAAGGCAGGAAGCCTCAGATTATCCGGGACAAATTGTTGTGAGGTGAAAGGCGGCCTCAGAAAACATGGTAACGGAAGTCCTTCCCTTACGGCCATTCTTTAAATCCCTGTCCAAAGTTACAACGGCGCTAAAATTTTGATTCCTCATCCTTAACGACCGTTGCAGCCTTCCTACAGTCGTGCGATCTAAATGTGGGTGCTTGGCAACCTGCCTATGTTTATGACGGTTTCAGCATCCTGGACTCGCATGACGGCCATTTGCAAGCTTCCTGGCTGGCTTCCGACAACCAAAATCAATGGGGGACGCCGATTCGCTTAATGACAATAGGATTTGCTTAACAACTGCTGTGATTTAGATCATAGAATAACAGGGTTGGGCAGTACCTCAGAGGTCTTCTAGTCTAGCCCCCTGCTCAAACAGGAGACCCTAGACCACTTCAATCAATCAGTCAATCAATCAAAATAGAGCTGGAAGGGACTTTGGAGTTCTTCTAGTCCAGCCCCCTGCTCAAGCAGGAGACCCTAGACCACAGGTCGGCAACCTGCGGCTCCGGAGCCACATGCGGTTCTTTGAGCCTTCCCCTGCGGCTCCCAGCCTCCTCTGCCTTTGCAGAGAGAGACAGAGACAGAGAGAGGCAATTGCGCTTCCCTGCTTCAATCTCTCTCTCTCTCTCTCCCCCCCCCCCTCTCTCTCTCTCTCTGTGTGTGTGTAAAAGAGCGTGCACTCACAGTGTTCTCCGAGGAGCTGAAAAGCTTATCGGGCGGAGCTCCTCCCTTTGCTGCGTCTCTGCAGGAAGCAGGAAGGGCAGGAGAGAGCTAGCTAGCCCAGCTAGGCTGACTCAGGAATTCTGGGAGTTGAAGTCCATGAGTCATAAAAGAGACGAGGTTGCCTACCCCTGAGCTTGCTGGACAACAGCTTGAAGCTTGCCAGGTGAGCAGCAGATAGGAGAGGGGGGGAGAAAGAGAGAGAGAGGGAGGGAGAGAGAAGAAATAGAGGGGGGAAGAGGAGTGGCAGAAAGAGAGAGAGAGAGAAGAAATAGAGGGGGGAAGAGGAGTGGCAGACCAAGGGCAGATAGGGAGGGAGAGAGAGAGACCCTTTTGACATCTAAAATGAAGATAACACTGCATATATCCTTTTTTTACCTTTGTGTGTGTATATGTGTGTGTGTGTGTGTATATACACACACACACATATACATATATACATATACACACACACACACACACAAACACACACCTATAATAAAGGTAAAAAAGGATATATGCAGTGTTATCTTCATTTTAGATATCAAAAAGGTTTTGCGGCTCCCAGTGTTTTGTTTTTGGTGGGAAACGGGTCCAAGTGGCTCTTTGAGTGTTTTGGGTTGCCTACCCCTGCCCTAGACCATGAGTAGGCAACCTTGGCTCTTTTATGACTGGTGGACTTCAACTCCCAGAATTCCTGAGCCAGCATGAGGGAAACTATGGCCCCTTCATGACTGGTGGACTTCAACTCCCAGAATTCCTGAGCCAGCCTGGCTCAGCTTGGAAACCTCTCCCTTTCTCCTCAGCATGGCTGCCTCAGGAATTCTGGGAGTTGAAGTCCACCAGTCATAAAAGAGCCAAGGTGGCCTACCCCTGGCCTAGACCATTCCAGACAGATGGCAGTCTAATCTCTTCTTGAAAGTCTCCAGGGATGGAGCTCCCTCAACTTCTGGAGGCAAGGAGTTCCACTGACAAATTGTTCTCACTGTCAGGAAATTCCTCCTTATTTTGAGTATGGAACTCAGAATACAGTACAACAGGGTGGGAAGGGACTTCGGAGGCCAGGCCGGGCAAACGGCTTTTCGGTCTTTGCTTGAAAATCTCCAGGTAGGGCAAACAATGGCTTTGAAACGGGGCAAATAATAATAATAATAAAATAATAATAAATATTATTATTATATTTTAATAACAATAATAAAGTTGGAAGGGACCTTGGAGGTCATCTAGTCCAACCCCCTGCTCAGGCAGAAAACCCTACACCATTTCAGACAAACGGCTGTCCAACTCCACTGCCTTGCTTAGCAACGGAAACTCGAGCCCCAGTTGTCATAAGCCGAGGATTACTTTGTGTCTCTTGTGGATGGTTGAATTCAGTAGGTTTTTCCTCCTTGCCGTCTTTCACACATGGATGGACTTCAACTCCCAGAATTCCCCCTGGCTGGGAAATGGGAATTCTGGGAGTTGAAGTCCACACACCTACAAGCCCTGCCCCCGAGGTTAAAAACCACAATGGTAGAAGATGACAGTCAGATGTCCAGGGCGGTGGGTTAATGACATCTTGGTTGACCGGCCGGGTCAGTCTCCTCGGCCCCTGGACTTTGTCTGGGGTGGGGTGGGGGTGTCAAAAATGTCAAAACGCCCCTTGCAGAATTCACATCTCGACCTTTTTGAACTGCCCTGGTCAAGACACAGGTTGGCTCACCACAATAGACAAGTGTAGGGTGCGAATTCAGAAGCCCCTCTTAGATGTGGCTGATGGAGCCTTCCAGCTGCCCAAGGAAGCCCCCCCTCCAATGTTTCAAGTGCAGGCCGGTCACTGTGGGCTCCTCCACCTTGCTCCAAGGGTCCCAATAAAAGAATATTTGTTGCTCGGGGTAGAAATGAGGAGTCCTGGGTGCTCTCGGAGCTGGGGGGTTTCCTTGCAGACGTTTCATGACCCAACTAGGGAACATCTTCAGTGCTGGAAGGGAGGGGGTTTGTGAGGAGGAGGAGGAGGAAGATGATGACTGTGGGGTCCCTGATGCTCTCTGAGCCTGATGGTTTTCTTGCAGACATTTCATGACCCAACTAGGGAACATCATCAGTGCGAGGAGGGAATGGGGTTTGCGAAAAGGGCGTGGAGGAGGAGGAGGAGGAGGAAAGAAGTAGAAGGAGGAGGAGGAGCAGGAGAGGAGGAGGAGGAGGAGGAGGAGGAGGAGGAGGAGGAGGAAAGAAGTAGAAGGAGGAGGAGGAGAAGGAGGAGCAGGAAAGGAGGAGGAGGAGAATGACTATGGGGTCCTTGGTGCTCTCTGAGCTGGGATGTTTTCATGACCCAACTAGGGAACATCATCAGTGCTAGAAGGGAGGAGGAGGAGGAGGAGGAGGAAGATGATAACTGTGGGGTCCCTGATGCTCTCTGAGCTTGGTGGTTTTCTTGCAGACATTTCATGACCCAACTAGGGAACATCATCAATGCTAGAAGGAAGGGGGGGTTGCGAGGAGGAGGAGGAGGAGGAAGATGATGACTGTGGGGTCCCTGGTGCCCTCTGAGCCTGGTGGTTTTCTTGCAGACATTTCATTACCCAACTAGGTAACATCATCAATGCTAGAAGGAAGTGGGGTTCGCGAAGAGGAAGAGGAGGAAGAGGAGGAGGACAACTGTTGGGTCTTGGTGCTCTCTGAGCTGGGTGGTTTTCCTTGCAAACGTTTCATGACCCAACTAGGGAACAACATCAGTGCTAAGAGGGAGGAGGGATTGTGGGACTCAGACCCCGCCCCACCAAGCACAGCCAGCCAAGCCACGCTCTCTGGTGCCGTCGGCATCCTCTCTTTATTTGTTACAAATGTACAAGATTCGAAACCAGAGATTCCAGCGCAGCACCCAGGTACCCCTGCAGACCCCCCCCCTCCTCCACCACCCCCACGACTGGCTTTAGCTTCACAGGTTTCTCCGCAGGGGAGGCAAGTGTGTGTGTGTGGGGGGGTGACTGGAGACACACACACACGCACACTCACACACACACATACACACAGACGAAACACCCCCCCCCTCTCTCCGGTCAGCAAAACCGCAGCGTCTTGAATGCAGGAAAAAGCCAGAAAAATCAAAGCCCCCCCCTCCCCAAAATAGGAAAAAAAAAAAATCTGGATTGCAAAGAGGAGAGTCCTTGCTTGCTTGCCTGGGGGGGGAGGGGGAGGGATGGGGAGAGAGGACCCCCCCCAGCTTTTTTTGGGGGGGTGGGGGCTGCTCCCATCTCAGCAGCTCCTCGGTGTTGTTATTCCAGTGTTAACACTATTGGGGAAGGGGAGGGGGGGTTGCCAGATAAATACACTCGCTCTCTCTCTATACAGACAGGTGAGCACATGGGGAGGGGGGGGACACAGATGGACAGATCCACGCACTATATATGGGGGGAGGTCCCTCCTGGGGGGGGGAAGGAGAAGAGACAGAGGGAGGGGGGGTATTTACACTGCCCAGGCTCCCCCTGCCTGTCCTTCCCACCCCCTCGCCCCCCCCACACACACCCCAGGACCCCCTCTTGCTCATATCAGTGCGTCACTGGCCGGAGTGGGGGGGGGGAAGAGAGCGAGGAAGGGGACCCTCCCCCCCCTTCACTGCTTCTTCTCCCGGGTGGTGATGGTGACCAGCTGCTTGGCGGCCTTGGCGATGTCGTAAGCGCACTGGATGACCTGCTGGGTCAGGAGCTGGTAGTCCACCGGCGCCCCGGGTTCGAGTGGCACCGTCTTGCGGCATTCGCTCTGCAGCCGGTAGGCGCTGGCGTTGAGGAGACGCAGGGAGCTGCGCACCGTCTCCAGGGCCGGTTTCTGTGGGGGGGGGGGAAGAAGGCCGAGGGGCAGACTTGCAGAATTGCTGTTTGTCCAAGCATCGCAGGATTGGCCTTAGGAAGCTCCTGAGACGGGGGTCCCCAACCTCTGGGCCACAGACCGGTCCCGGTCCACAGCAGGCCAGCAATTGAGCCGCACAAACATGCAAAGTGACACCTGGTGCCCCAAAGGTTGGAGATCTCTATCCGAAGGGATCATCTACTCCAGGGGTCCCCAACCCCCCCCCCCGGGCCACAGACCGGTATCAGTCCACAGCAGGCCAGCAATTGGGCCGCACAAACACCAAGGTTGGGGACCTCTATCCTAAGAGATCTACTCCAGGGGCCCCAACCTCTGGGCCACAGACCGGTCCCGGTCCACAGCAGGCCAGCAATTGGGCTGCACAAACACCAAGGTTGGGGACCTCTATCCTAAGAGATCTACTCCAGGGGCCCCAACCTCTGGGCCACAGACCGGTTCCGGTCCACAGCATGGCAGCAACCGGGCCGCACAAATGCGCCACGCGACACCCGCGAGATGCAGGCAGCACACAAAACCACGCACCCTCCGGTCTGCGGAAAAACCTCTCTCCACGGAACCGGTGGTCCCTGATGCCCAAAAGGTTGGGGACCTCTGTCCTAAGAGATCATCTAGTCCACTCCCCCCTCCTACTTGCTGCAGGTTTCCCTGCAGGCGATCCCCGGCTTACCGCCGCAACTCAACAAGTGCGAGGCTGCGAAGCGAGGGAGTTTCACTCCATTTTTACGACCGTGGCAGCCTCCCCAGGATCACGGGATCCAGATCCTGACACTTGACAACTGGCTCTGCAAAACTCCTCGTGTCGGCTATTTTAGGCCAGAGTCCCTGTGCAAATGTTGCGGCATGGGGTGGGTGGGCTAGGGGTGGGGGGGGCTGCTGGATCCAGTTCCGATTCTCCTAACTCGAAACCCCCCCCGTACGATTCTGTACGGCAGTGGTTCTCAACGTTTGTGTGACGGCGACCCCCGTCACACAAACGTTATGCGCATGCGCGGCGCGGCGCGCATGGGGGCGGGGCCCCGCGCGTGGCGCGCATGCGCGGCGCCACCCCTGCGCGCGGCGCGCATGGGGACGGGCCCCGCACGCGGCGCGCATGCGCGGCGGCGGCCCCACGTGCGGCGCGCATGCGCGGCGGCACCCCCATGCGTAGCACACATGCGCGGCGGCGGCCCCATGCGCGGCACGCATGCGTGGCGCCCCCTGGAGGCGACAAAATGGCGGATCGCCGCGTTTGGCGACCCCACAAAAGAGGTCGATCGACCCCAAATGGGGTCGCGACCCATAGGTTGAGAACCGCTGCTGTATGGCATCTTCCTTTCTCTTCTGCGGCCCCAAATTCTCCATCTGGTTCCCCCCCCCTTTCTTTTCTGCAGGGGTCTCCCAAATTGGCCCCTTGACAACTGGTGGACTTCAACTCCCAGAATCCCTCAGCCAGCATGCTGGGAGTTGAAGTCCACAAGTCTTCAAAGTCCACTTGCTTTCTCCTTCCATCAGAGGTGTCCAACCTGGGCTGCTTTAAGACCTGTGGACTTCAATTCCCAGAATTCCCCAGCCAGCCCTGCTGGCTGGGGAATTCTGGAAGTTGAAGTCCACAGGTTGTAAAGCTAGGAGGAGAGCTCGCTAGGAAGGAGAAGGACTTGCGTAACACAACGTCACCCGCACACACCCGTCTGCCGGAATGCAAGGGGATGGGCTACGACCCCTTGCCCCCTTACCTTGGGGAAGAGCGAGGCCATTTCTGTCACCGCCGTGTGGATTTTCTCCGAACAGGGGACGAAGCTGCTGGGGAGGAAGAGGGACAGAATAAGATCCACAGTCGGGGGGGGGGGGGCAGGCGGTCAAAGGTCCTACATGGTGAGGGGACCCCAATTATTGAGGAAAATGAGGGTTCGGCATCAAATATGGGCTTCCACTCCCAGAATCCCCCAGCCAGCCTGCTTTAAGAGGGGTGGGCTGCCACGCCCAGAATTTCCCTGCCAGCCATGCTTTAAGAGGGATGGACTTCCACTCCCAGAATCCCCCAGCCAGCCTGCTTTAAGAGGGGTGGGCTTCCACTCCCAGAATCCCCCAGCCAGCATGTTTGAAGAGGGGTGGGCTTCCACTCCCAAAATCCCCCAGCCAGCCTGCTTTAAGAGGGGTGGGCTTCCACTCCCAGAATTCCCCAGCCAGCCTGCTTTAAGAGGGGTGGGCTTCCACTCCCAGAATCCCCCAGCCACTCCCCCCCCAATTCTGACTGGCATAGTCATTGCGCTTCCTCACCACTCCCGCCTGGCTCTTCAACCCCGGCTCCTTCCCCAAGACCATCATCCTTGGCTAGACCCCCCCCCCAGGCGCCCCCCCCAAAGGACTCCGGGAAGCTCCTTCCTGACCTGTCATGTTTGAACTCCTGGGCGGCCCTCAGAAGCTCTTGGATGTTCTTCGTGACCTGCTCGGTCTTCAGGATGACGTCCTCCGTGCTGGGCAGACCCCCGTCCAGGTCGCCTTCCAGCACCTCGGGCTCCAGGTGCAAATCCTCCTCCTTGCCCAGATCCAGGAAACGTTTCCCGTCCATGCTGGTTGAGGAGGGGAGGGGGGTGAGGAAAAAGGAGGGGCAGGTTAAAAAAAAAAAAGCAGAATTTCCGCCCCCCCCAAAAAAAGCAGAGTCCTCCCTGGCCTGGGTGGGAGCGGGAAAGGGTTCGAATTCCCCCCTCAAAATTACATTTCTTTTGGCATTTTCATTTTGTTTTAAATTTTTTTTATCTTAAACGACAGGCCTCGATTTACGACCATCGTTTCCGAGCCCACCATTTCTGTTCTTCAGCGAGAGGTCAGGAGGCCGCCAAAGGGGATCGCATGACACCCCCCCCAGGGCGCTGCGACCGTCATAAATACGAGTCAGTGGCCAAGCATCCGCGTTTTGATCACGCGACCGCGGGGGATGCTGTGACGGTCATTAAGTGTGAAAAACGGTCGTAAATCGCTTTTTTCAGTACCGTTGTAACTTCGGTCACTGAACGGATGCAGCTTGAGGACTAGCTGCCTTTGGATTTTAATATTTTATCAGAGACGTTCAATTGTCAAACCGCCCGGAGACCCTTTAGCAGGGAAAGGGGCAATTAAGAATTTGATCCATCCATCCATCAATCTGTTCTCAAATCACAGCTGAGGTCAGAGCTCCCCCCACCTCCCCCCGTAGGCAGAGGGTCTGCAGAGCTCCCCCCAGCACGGAACGGAACTGGACAGGTGAGGACAGGTGAAGGTGGGCTCACCTGAGGGGCAGGTCGCCCCCCTGCGTGTTGTCGTAGTCGCTGTCGGTGCCGCTGCCGTGCCGGTCGAGTTTCCCACTCTGGGGGGGGGGGGGAAGGAGAAAAAAAGGGGGAAGAAATGGGGACATGGAATTCGGGGTGGCTGTGTGGGGAGGGGGGAAAAGGGGGCTGGGGGCTTGCAAGTTGGGTTTCAATGGGGATGACTTGGGCTGAGTCCACGGCTGGACCCATCCGAGCGGTCTGGGCTGCGGGGAGGCGAATCCTGACCCTCTGGGAATATCGGGGGGGGGGCAGTGGGGGGCGTTATGGGAAAAGTGCTCTGCCCTGTGAGGGTGGGGGCACTCCCACTGGGGGTCCCCACCTTGTGTGTGACATATTTGCAGAGCAAAGAACTAAGGACTTCCCCCGAAATTATTTTTGTGCCAAATGGACATTTCTCTTCTCTTGATCTTTTTTCCTTCCTTCCTTCCTCTCTCTCTCCCGCCCCTTCCTTCCTTCTCTTTCTTCTTTCCTCCCTCCCATCTCTTCCTTCCTTCCTTCCATCCTTCCTTCCTTCCCTCCTCTCCTTTCTTTCATTCCTTCCTTCCTCCCTCCCTCCCTTCATTTCTTTTCCTCCTTTCCTTCTTCCTGCCTCTTCCTTCCTTTCTTTTCTTCCTTCCTTCCCTCCCATCTTTCTTCATTCCTTCTTCCTCCTTCCTTTCTTCCTCCCTCCTCCTTCCCTCCCTCCTGCCTGTTCCTTCCTTCCACCCCCCTCCCTGTCCTTCCTTCCTTCCTTCCTTCCTTCCTTCCTCCCTCCCTCCCTCCCTCTCTCCTGCCCCTTCCTTCCTTCCCTCCTTTCTTCTTTCCTCCCTCCCATCTCTTCCTTCCTTCCATCCCCCTCCCTTCCTTCCTCCCTGTCCTTCCTTCCTTCCTTCCTTCCTTCCCTTTCTTCTTTCCTCCCTCCCATCTCTTCCTTCCTTCCCTCCTCTCCTTTCTTTCATTCCTTCCTTCCTTCTTCCCTCCCTTCATTTCTTTTCTTTTCCTCCTTTCCTTCTTCCTGCCTCTTCCTTCCTTTCTTTCCTTCTTCCTGCCTCTTCCTTCCTTTCTTTCCTTCTTCCTGCCTCTTCCTTCCTTTCTTTTCTTCCTTCCTTCCCGCCCATCTTTCTTCATTCCTTCTTCCTCCTTCCTTTCTTCCTCCGTCCACCTTCCCTCCCTCCTGCCCGTTCCTTCCTTCCTTCCACCCCCCTCCCTTCCTTCCTCCCTGTCCTTCCTTTCTTCCTTCCTTCCTCCCTCTCTCCTGCCCCTTCCTTCCTTCCCTCCTTTCTTCTTTCCTCCCTCCCATCTCTTCCTTCCTTCCCTCCTCTCCTTCTTTCTTTCATTTATTCCTCCCTCCCTTCCTTTCTTTTCCTCCTTTCCTTCTTCCTGCCTCTTCCTTCCTTCTCTCCTTTCTTTTCTTCCTTCCTTCTCTCCTTTCTTTTCTTCCTTCTTCCTCCGTCCTTCCTTTCTTCCTCCCTCCTCCTTTCCTCCCTCCTGCCCGTTCCTTCCTTCCTTCCATCCCCCTTCCTTCCTTCCTCTCTGTCCTTCCTTGCTTCCTTCCTTCCTTCCTGTCCTTTCTTCCTCCCTCCCTCCCTCCCCAGCCACGCAGCCGGCTGTCCACTCACCAGGTGGCGCCCACTCCCCTCCGGCGGACCCACCACCAGCGCAGAGGACGAGGGGGGGAACGGCATGGCCGAAATGGAGCCCCCCTTCCGGATCTGAAGGCCCAAAAGAGCAGAGGGTCAGTCCACTGGCTGTGTACCATGGCTGGACAGTCGGGAGACCCCGTGGTGGGGTGGGGGTCTTGGAAACTCCCAACGGGGGCAGCCAGGGGGAGAAAAACGTGCAGGGCCGGGTCTGTCCTCTCTCCTCCCAAAACACACTTACTCGGTAAATGTTGGGCTGGCTGTGCATGGAATACAGGCCGTCTTCCTCCGACTCCTGCAAGGGTCAAAATAGATCAAGGTGTGTGTGTGTGTGTGTGTGTGTGTGTGTGTTACATCACACTTTCCCATGATCTGCACAAAGGTCTCACGCACTTTCCTTTCTTTTTTCAGGTATATATTTATTATGTTTTATCAACAGGAATAAAATACAAAGTGGAAAAAAAAAGGACAGAAAAAAGCATACGTCCAACAGTAACAACAACAAAAAGAAAAAAAATGCACAAAAAAGGGAAAAAAGAAAAAAAAATGACCCAAATATTCAACATTAAACATACACACACATATACACACACACACACACATATATATATATATATATATATATATATATATACACACACTCACACATATATATACATGCACATCACACACACACACACACACACACACATATACATACACACATCTACACACACACATATATACATATATATATATACATACACCACACACACACACACACACATATATATATATACATGCACACACACATTTATTTATTTATTTATTTATGAGACTTATATACCGCTTTAAGTGCAAGCACTCTCTAAGCGGTGTACACCAGTAAGCACTGTATATATATATATATTTCCATTGCCCCCAACAATCTGGGTCCTCATTTTACCTACTCCAGAAGGATGGAAGGCTGAGTCAACCCTGAGCCGGTGAGATTTGAACCGCTGACCTGCTGAACACAGTCAGCTAAAGTGGCCTGCAGTACTGCACTCTAACTGCTGCGCCACCTTGGCCCTTTATATATTTATCTATATATACACATACACACATATATATACATATATATACATACACACCACACACACACACGCATATATATATTGACACTTTACTAAATTTTATTAAATTTTTTAGCACTCCCTGGTACTCACATTTATTTGTTTGGTTTTAAATATGGATATACCCAGGGATCATATTTTTACACACACACACACACACACACATATATATATATATAAATCCACCCTAACTGGATGCTGAAACGAAAAAATAATTTAAAAAACCCCTGATAAATTCTCCTCCTTTTACATAATGGGTGTGTAAATAGTCCTAAACTTTCTCAACATTATTTAACAAGAAAAATATGTTATATAAAAAAATATTTCAGATATAGATGGGAGGTCTCTATCTGATAATCGAATCGGCCCAACATCTAGCGTATATAAAAAAATAAAAGAAAAAATAATAAAAACAAATAAAAACTTTGCAACCTCTTTTTGGTCCCTGCAGAAAAGCCGTGTGGACCCACAGGCTCGGCTCAGCCCCCTCCCCAATTCTGCCCGGGCCCTGATCCGCAGGCACTCACCCCCGGGTGGAAGGGCTGCAGGCGGCTGACCAGGTCGTCCATGGGCGGTTGGCTGAAGGGCTTGAGCGTGCTCGCGCCCGGTTCATACATGGAGAAGGCGTGACGGTCGCGGCGGAGGGCTCCTGCTGGGGCGGAGGGGAGGTGGCTGTGCTCGGGGCGCTCGCTGGGGGTGGGGGCCGCCGGGTGGACGGGCCCCGCCTGCTGACGGATCTGCAGGTTCTCCGACTGCAGCTTGTGAATCTGAAAGCATCCGCAAGGATTCACAATTCATAAGCACAGGAATTCATAGGAATCACAAGAATTCACAAGAACCCATAAGAATCGGCAAGAATTTACTAGAATTTACAAGAATTCGTAAGAATGTGCAAGAATTCACTAGAATTCTCAAGAATTCACTAGAATGCTCAAGAATCCACAAGAATTCACTAGAATTCATAAGAATCCACAAGAATTTACTAGAATTCATAAGAATTTACAAGAATTCATAACAATTCACAAGAATTCACTAGAATTCATAAGAATTTGCAAGAATTCACTAGAATGCACAGCAATTCATAAGAATCTGTAAGAATTCACTAGAATGCACAATTCATAAGAATCTGTAAGAATTCACTAAAATTTACAAGAATTCAATAGAATCCACAAGAATTTACTAGAATTTACAAGAATTTAAGAATGTGCAAGAATCCACAAGAATTCAGTAGAATTCATAAGAATTTACAAGAATTCATAAGAATGCACAAGAATTCACAAGAATTCACAAGAATACATAAAAATTCACAAGAATTCATAGGAATTCACAAGAATTCACTGGAATTCACAAGTATTTACAAGAATTCATTAGAAGTCGTAAGAATCCACAGGAATTCATAAGAAGCTACAAGATTTCATTAGAATCTGCAAAAATTCACTAGAATTCACAAGAATTCATAGGAATTCACCAGAATTCGCAAAAATTCATTAGAATTATAAGAATCCACAAGAATTTACTAGAATTCATAAGAATTCGCAACAATTCACAAGAATCTGCAAGAGCAGCTGGCCCATTCGGGGCAGAGCAGAGTCACGGACCCCCCTGCTTAGATGAGGAAGGGGCATCTATACTCAGTTGTGGGTCCAAATTGTGAACTTCCGGGCATTAACAACACACCACAGCAGGGGGAGGCTGCGCTCGTGGGGGCCTAAGTGGCTTTCTGTTTACAAGCAGCCCTTGACTTACGACCACGACTGAGCCTAACATTTCCGTTGCTAAGTGAGACATTTCTTGAGCGAGTTTGGCTCCATTTTACGACCTTTCCTGCCACAATTATCGAGCGAATCACTGCGGTTGTTATGCGAGTCACATGGTCGTTAAGCGAATCCGGCTTCCCCCATTGACTCTGCTTCTTGGAATGTCGCAAAAGGGGATTGCGTGAGACCCCGCCCGGGACGCGGCCACCGTCGTAACTATGGGTCGGTAGTGACCACTGGGGATGCTGCAACCGCCGTAAGTGTGAAACACGGTCATCAGCGGTCCCTTTGTTCAGTGCCACTGTCCCTTCGAACGGCCGCTAAACGAACCGTTGTAAGTCGAGGACGACCTGTGGCTTTGAGGAAAGCTGTTGTAAGCTCAGATGGTTGCTTAGCAACAATCAGGTAAAACCACAAAAACCCCCCCAAATCCATTTCCGAGACTGGCAGTGCCAGGTGGGCGCCAGGAACGGAAGGGGGGGAGTCCAGGGACCCCGGCTTGTGTTCCCCCCCCCGAAAAAAAGGGGTGACTTGCCTCTCTCTGCAACCGCCGCAACTCATCACTCAGGCTGTTGTTCACCTTCATGAGTTGCTGGACTTTGGCTTCGGACACGGCCAGGGCCTTCTTCACCTCCAGGTACTCCTGCAGGGTGATGGCCCCATCCGACAGGTCGGAGGAGTCCATGCTCTGCGGGGCGGAGGGGAGAATGGGGGGGGTCAGTCTAGGTTTGCTCTGAGATGAAGGGCAGGTACAGCGTTCCCCCTTCCGTGGGACGGTGGGGAGGAGAGGAGGCTGCCCCCCTGGCGGGATGGGGTGTTTCCCTTCTCTCTCCTTCCCTCCCTCCCCCTTTTCCTTCCCTTCATCTCCTCTCCTCTTCCTTTGCCTTTCCTTTCCCTTCCTTCCCTTCCCCTTCCCCTCTTCCTTTGCTCTCCTTTTCTCTTTTCTTTTCTTCCTGACAGTGAGAACAATTAGCCAGTGGAACTCCTTGCCTCCAGAAGCGGTGAATGCTCCAACACTGGAGGTTTTTAAGAAGAGACTGGACAGCCATTTGTCTGAAATGGTGTAGGGTTTCCTGCCTGAGCAGGGGGTTGGACTAGATGACCTCCAAGATCCCTTCCAACTTTATTATTATTAACAACCTGCCTCCAGAAGCGGTGAATGCTCCAACACTGGAGGTTTTTAAGAAAAGATTGGACAGCCACTGGACAGTCTGAAATGGTACAGGGTTTCCTGCCTGAGCAGGGGATTGCACTAGATGACCTCCAAGGTCCCTTCCAAAAATTTTTTATTACTATTATTATTATTATTATTATTATTATTATTATTATTATTATCCTTTCCTTTTCCACTCTTTTCTTTTCCTTTCTTCATTTCTTCCATTCTTCTCCTTTCCCTTCCCTTCCCCTTGTCCATTCACTTCATTTCCTTTCCATTTTTCCTTTCTTTTCTTCTTTTGTTTTCCTTCCTTCCTTCTTTCCCTTTCTTTTCCTTTTCTCCTTTCCTTTCCTTCCTCCCTCCCTCCCCCTCTCCATCCCTTCCTCTTTTCTTCCTCCCTCTTCTTTCTCTGCCTCTGTCTTTTATCTCTTTGGAAACTGACCAAAGAGAGAAGCAACCTGGAATTAAGGAGAAACTTCCTAACAATGAGGACAATTAACCAGTGGAACAGCTGGCCACCAGAAATCGTGGGTGCTCCATCACTGGAGATTTTTAAGAAGAGGCTGGACAGTCACTTGTTTTGAGATGGTATAGGTTCTCCTGCCTGAGTGTGAGGGTGGACTAGAAGACCTCCAAGGTCCCTTCCAGCTCTATTCTATTTTCTTTCTTTCTTTCTTTCTTTCTTTCTTTCTTTCTTTCTTTTTCTTTCTTTCTTTCTCTTTCTCTCTTCCTTTCTCTATCTTTTCCTCCCTCCCTCTCTCCCTTCCTTTCTTCCTTTCCTTCATCATAGAATCCTATGGGTGGAAGGGACCTTGGAGGTCTTCTAGTCCAACCCTCAAGCAGGAGACCCTAACCCATTTCAGACAAATGGCTGTCCAGAGTCTTCTTAAAAACCTCCCGTGATGGAGCACCCACGACTTCTGGAAGCAAGGAGTTCCACCGGTTGACTGTTCTCACTGCCAGGAAATTTTTTTTCCTGACACAGCCATTATCTCCTCCCTCCCTCCCTCCTTCCCCCCCCCCTTCTCAAGGGGTCTCACCCGAGCACGGTTGTTGCGCCCAGCGTTCGCGCTCCGCAGGGGCTCCTGCTCCGCGTCGTCGTCGGAGGCCACGCTGTCGTAGTCGTGCTGGTCGTCAAAGTCGCTGGGGCCATGCACGGAGGCGTCGAGGGCCTCTGCAGCGACAACAAAGGGGGTTACCCCTGGGGGGGGGAAAGACCCTTCCCCCCCTCCAGAGCCCCTCTCCCCACAGCCCCTGCCCTCCCCAGACTCACCCGTGGGGCTGGTCAGGCCCTTGCCCTGCTGGCGTCGCTTGGCCTCGCTCAGGATGTCGATGATCAGGGTGGCAAACTCCCGGGCGTTGAAGCGGGCCAGCTTCTGTCGGCCCTGGGGGGCAACAAGGGAGGAAAGGGCAGGGTGAGACCGAAGCCCCCCAGGGCAGCAGCCGGGAGACCACCCACGCCGTCGCTCAGAATGCTCAACGTTGAGCAGCCGCCAAAGGTCCAGCTTTGGTGCGGGGAGAGGGGTGGGCCGGAGCAGCGCATAAAGGTGGCTACGTAAGGATTTTAGGCTGATGCCTCTCTTGACTCCACCACCTTCACCCCAGGCTCTGCCACCCTTTCCCCAATCTGAAGGCAGCCATGACTGAGGCATGTCTGCCTCGGGGGGGGGGGTGTCTGTGATGGGTGGTCGAAAAAGTCAAGGTGACAGGTAGAAGATAGACAAATAGACAGACAGACAGACAGACAGAGGATAGACAGATAGATAATAGGTATATGATATTGATAGATGATAGACAGATAATAGATCGATAGACAGACAGATGATACAGACAGATAGATAATAGATTGACGATAGATAGATAGATAAATCGATAGACAGATAGACAGATAGATAATAGATTGATGATAGATAGATAGATAGACAGACAGACAGGTAGATAGATAGATAGATAGATAGATCAAGATAGATAAGGATGATAGACAGACAGATAATAGATATACAATATAAATAGATAGATGATAGACAGATAGATAAATAATATACGATATAAATAGATGATAGATAGATGATAGATAGCTAGATAGATAAATAGATAGATAGAGAGAGAGAGAGAGACAGACAGACAGATGATGGACAGATAGATAATAGATAATAGATTGACGATAGATAGATAGTTACCAATAACATCAGTAAAAACACGATTCCTGGGTATATTCATATCACGAAGACTTAAACAAAACACATTTTGTGTGCTCATGATTTGTTTAAGTCTTCGTGATAGATAGATAGATAAACAGATAGACAGATAGATAGATAGATAGATAGATAGATAGATAGATGATAGATCAAGATAGATAAGTATGATAGACAGACAGATAGATAATAGATATACGATATAAATAGATGATAGACAGAAATAGACAGATAGATAATATACGATATAAATAGATGATAGAGAGATAGATGGTAGATAGAGAGAGAGAGAGAGAGAGATACAGACAGACAGATGATGGACAGACAGATATACAGACAGATAGATAGATGATATAGAAGATAAATGATTGATTGATATAGATAGACAGACAGACAGACAGACAGATGATATAAATAAATGATAGATAGATAGATAGACAGACAGATAGATGATATAAATAAATGATAGATAGATAGACAGACAGACAGACAAATAGATGGATGGACAGATAGACGGACAGACAGACTGACGGGCATGACCGACAGACGTGTCAATTGCCAAGCGTCTGAATTTTGATCATAGGACTTTGGGGATACTGCAATAGTCGTGTGAAAAAATTTCGTAACGGTCATTTTTTCAGTGCCGTTGTAACTCTGAACGGTCACTAAACGACCTGTTGTAAGTCAAGGACACAGAGAGAGAAAGAGAGAGAGAGAGAGAAAGAGAGAGAGAGAGAGATGGACGATCACCTGATTCCGTGTAGCTGAATATTCGGGGTTCACTGGCAGAAAGGGCACCGCACTGCGCTCCGTCACCAGGGTGCTGTGGTTCTGCGTGGTGAGCCAGACTTTTGGGGGGCGAGGAAGCAGAGGAGAAGAACGCAAGGTCAGCCACCCAGGGGGTGGGCTGGTCTGGGGGCGGGGGGGACCCCATGGGGGCATAAAACCGGCCCCTGCAACTCCCCAGAACCTGGAGCTCACGCCTACAACCTCTCCCTTTGGCCAAGAAACCTGCGTATGGCGCTGCCCGCCCCCCAAGTGAAGACTTTGACAAGCCTCTGCAAGTTTCTAGTCCTTAATCATTGCGAGAGCAGAGGCTCCGCCCCCAAAAGCTTTTACCGGCGTCGTTTTCACGGCGATCCACTTCGTCGTAAACGTCCATCGCCAGCTCTTCAAACAGGTGGTTGCTCAGCTATTGGGGGGGGGAGAGAAACATTTAGTTTGGGGGGAGGACTCGAGTCACGGGGCTTTGGCTGGGGGGGGGGGAGATTGGGTGGCTGGTGCCGAGTTCTGATCCTCTTCCCAAGCTGCCAAAGAGGCCACTTTCCCCAAATGAATAGAACTGGCAGGATTTTGTGATGCTTATTGGGTGGGTGGGGGTCCTGTCCCCCTCCCCATTACATGCCCAGTTTGACTTTTAAAGCAAAGAAGTCCTTTTCGTATTTAAAAATGGGAAGTTTCAAACCCTGCGGGGCTTTCAGACGGGTGGACTTCATCTCCCAGAATCCCCAGATGAAGTTCACCCGTCTGAAAGCCCCCAAGGCTGAGAAATAACTGGTTAAATTGCTTTTTTTTCTGAATGGGGCAGAGGGATGGACTAGATGACCTCGTGGGGATCCTCCCAACTCCACTCTCCGGGGATCAGGTGGGTCCGTGTGGACGGACAGAAAGAAGATAAACCCAGAACGGTGTTTTACAAACTTAGCGCCTGGAAGACGTGCGGACTTCAACTCCCAGAATTCCCCCCGGTGGAGGAATTCTGGGAATTGCAAGTCCATCCTTCTTCAAGGAAGCAGCCAAAAGTGAGAAACGCTGACTTAGAAACCTCACCCGGCCCACATTAAAAAAAAAAAGGGGGGGGGGGAGGAAAAGTGGCCACGAGGAGATCCCGGCCCGAGCCAGGTTGTACGTTCGAAACCGTCTCACTTACCGCCTGCAACTTCTTCTTCGCTGCCTTGGCCAACTCCGAAAGGTCTAAGCTGGGGGGGGGGGGTGGAGGAGAAAGATGCATCAGTGCCCCCACCCCATTTCTCCTTCCCACTGGATGCCCCACCAGACTCCCACCAGCCCGCAGAAACCCCATTCGAAGCGCTAGAATTCCCCAGGGAATAAAGATAACCACATTTATTATGGGGGAGGAAAACAAAGAAAAGGATAATCAGGGGTGGGGGGAATGGACAGAGAAGGAAGACCCCCCCCCCCGAGAGAAGGAATGGATCCAGCCAGTTTGATCTAGGGGTTGGGGCGCCAGGCTAGAAAGTAGGAGACGGTGAGTTCTAGTCCCGTCTTAGCCAGAAAGCCGGCTGGGTGACTTTGGGCCCATCACCAGGCGACGGTGAGTTCTAGTCCCTCCTTAGCAATAAAAGGTGGCTGGGTGACTTTGGGCCCATCACCAGGTGACGGTGAGTTCTAGTTCCGCCTTAGCAATAAAAGGTGGCTGGGTGACTTTGGGCTGATCACCCGGAGACAAGGAGTTCTAGTCCCACCATAGGCTTGAAAGCCGGCTAGGTGACTTTGGGCCAATCACCAGATGACAGTGAGTTCTAGTCCCGCCTTAGGCATGAACCCCAGGTGACTTTGGGCCAATCACCAGGTGACAGTGAGTTCTAGTCCTGCCTTAGGCATGAAAGCCAGATGGGTCACTTTGGGCCAGACACCACGCGACAGTGAGTTCTAGTCCTTCCTTAGCAATAAAAGGTGGCTGGGTGACTTTGGGCCAGTCACCAGGCGACAGTGAGTTCTAGTCCTTCCTTAGCAATAAAAGGTGGCTGGGTGACTTTGGGCCCATCACCAGGTGAAAGTGAGTTCTAGTCCTGCCTTAGGCATGAAAGCCGGATGGGTGACTTTGGCCCAATCACCAGGCGACAGTGAGTTCTAGTCCCTCCTTAGCAATAAAAGGTGGCTGGGTGACTTTAGGCCCATCACCAGGCGACAGTGAGTTCTAGTCCCGCCTTAGGCATGAACCCCAGGTGACTTTGGGCCAATCACCAGGCAACAGTGAGTTCCAGTCCCGCCTTAGGCATGAAAGCCAGATGGGTGACTTTGGGCCAATCACCAGGCGACGGTGAGTTCTAGTCCTGCCTTCACCATGAAAGGTGGCTGGCTGACTTTCCACCAGTCCCTCTCACAGGGTGTTGGGGGGGGGGGGAAGAAGGAGGAAGAAGGACGTGTTGGTTATATTCGCCGCCTTGACTTATTTGTAAGAAAAATAATAATAAAAGATGAGATACAAATAAACAAATAAATGAATAATGGGGACCTCAGGCGCCACCCCCAAGCCCCGGGGAGTCCCCGGCGGGCAGCGTATACATTGAATAAAATCTTGATATAAACCAGAATAACATCTGGCAAGGGGACGGCATGGATGAGCCCGAAACGTCCCTGCCGCCCCCTTCTCCAGACCCTTCCCCACATGCACGAGGCCCCCCCACAAAACGGGGGGGGGAAGCGGAAGGGCAGGGGGGGGGACAGGCGAGGGCAATGCATGCAGGGGAGAGCCGAGCCCTCCTCCGTACCTTTGCGACATGCATTTGGGGCGCACTCTGATTCCGTAAAGAGCAGCAGGGAAGAAAGAAGAGGAGGTTAGAAAGAGGTGGGGGTGGTGGTGGGGGAAACAGCAACAGCCACACCGCCCCTCCCCCTCCCCAAACACCACAGGCTGGCTTTCTCGACTCTTGCACCCAAGACCTGATGCCCCCTTGGCCTGCCCGGGCCTACTACGCAGGCTTCCTTTTCCTAATGCAACTCAAACCGGGGCCAAACCCATCTGCAGCCCTGGCCGTGCCTCGTTATCGGGGATACCGATAGTCTCCGGATTACAACCATTCATTCAGTGACGGTTGCAATGGCGCTGGAAAAAGTGACTTATGACCGATCCTTGCACTTACGACCGCCTGGTCACGTGACCGAAATCCGGACACTTGGAAACTGGCATGTACTTAGGACAGTTGCAGCATCCCCAGGGTCACGTGACCGAAATCCAGATGCTTGGAAACTGGCAGGTACTTAGGACAGTTGCAGCGTCCCTGGGGTCTCATGGGATCCCCATTTGCGACCTTCTGACAAGCAATGTCAATGGGGAAGCCAGATTCGCGTAATGACCGTGTCGCTAACTTAACATCCGCGGTGATTCGCTTAACAACGGTGGCCAGGAAGGTCATAAAATGGTCACTTAATAAATTTCCCACCTCACAACATAAATCTGGGGCTCCACTATGGTTGTAAATTGAGGACTAGCTGCAATATCACCAAAACCTAAACCACGGTTCATTTGTGAGAGGGGGTCACTATGGGACCGTGCCTCACTTTACGACCTTTCCTGTGGCAGTGAATCCATGCCGTCCTTAAGCAAAATCCATTGTCTGCAATTGGTGTTTTTTTTTTTTCGCCGAACGTGGGAAGTAAACGCCGATTAATGGCCCTTAAGCCGTACATCGTGGTTAGTTGCCAAGTGCTCAAACTATGATCACGCGACCGTGGGGTGGGCAGCTGTCAGGATGTGGAATCTGGGTCGTAAGTAGCCCTGGGGAAGTCAGTTAGAAGTCGTAATGGTCACTAAGCCAACGTTCGCAAGTCGAGGATTATGGGTTCAAGAACTGGGGCCTGTATTCGAATCCAGCCAATTCTTACTGCGGGCAGCCCAATGGTTGCGGCTGCAATTGTTAAAATTCCAAGGAAATCCTGGTTCCTCTAAAACAGCCAGAAACTTTAGAGCAGGTTTTGCTGACTTTTGACTCCTTGCGTAAAAAATAAATAATAAAATAAAATATAAAATAAAAAAAATAAATAATAATAATAAAATAATAAAATAAAATAATAAATAATAAATAATAAATAATAAATAATAAAATAAAATATAAAATAATAAAATAAATAAATAATAAATAATAAAATAAAATAAATATAAATAATAAAATAAAAAATAAAATAAATAAATAATAAAATAAAATAAATAATAAAATAAATAATAAAAAAATAATATTGGGGTGGTGTCTTCCCCAAATAGAGTATTCTGAGGACACGTGCAGACTTCATCTCCCCAAATTGCAAAGAATTTGGGGGTACTGAATGCTAGAAAAGCTGGAACACCTCAATATTCACTAAAGCCACGTTTCTTACCCGCTGTACCTTTAAGAAAGGTGGACTTCAACTCCCAGAATTCCTGAGCCAGCATGGGGGAACTATGGCCCCTTCATGACTCGTGGACTTCAATTCCCAGAATTCCTGAGCCATCATGGCTCAGCTTGGAAACCTCTCCCTTTCCCCTCAGCATGGCTGGCTCAGGAATTCTGGGAGTTGAAGTCCACAAGTCATAAAGGGGGCCATAGTTCCCCCATGCTGGCTCAGGAATTCTGGGAGTTGAAGTCCACAAGTCATAAAGGGGGCCATAGTTCCCCCATGCTGACACAGGAATTCTGGGAGTTGAAGTCCACCCTTCTTAAAAGTTCCACGGTTGAGAAATACGGTTAACTAGATTACATGGAGGGATTTTGCTCTCCAGGAACTCTCCTATCCCTCCGAAAACATAGAAACAAAAATGATTTATGGGGGGAAAAAAGTATATACAGGCAGTCCTCAACTTACAACGATTCGTTTAGCGACCGTTCAAAGTTACAACAGCACTAAAAAAACAGGGATGTTTAACCATTTCCCTCACTGACCACCATTTGCAGCATCTCCATGGTCACGTGATCAAAATTTGGACGCTAGGCAACTGACTCGTATTTACGACGGTCGCAGTGTCCCCGGGGGGGGGTCACTGGATCCCCTTTTGGCGAACCCCATGGGGGAAGCCCAATTCCCTTAACGACCATGTTACTAACAAGGGTGGCAAGGAAAGTCCTCAAAAGGGACAAAACTCGTTTAACAACAGCTTAGCCCCAGAAATGCTGGGCTCCGTTGTAAGTTGAGGACTGCCTGCATATAAGGGCTTCAAACCCTTCCGCAAGGGTAACCGAATAAATTTGCAATTCCTTGGCTGTGATTTTACTTCCCTGAAATATTGTACAAAGGCCCGTCTGAGATCGTATAGGTTCTCCTGCTTGAGCAGGGGGCTGGACTAGAAGACCTCCAAGGTCCCTTCCAGCTCTATTCGATTCTATTGAATCTCAATGAAGGGCTACCTTTAATGCAAAGCACGGGGGGGGGGAGGGGAAAGGTAAAGCTAATTAATTCATTAAGGTCATTTCTCACTTTAGGAGAGATTATTTCTGGGTGAGATTGTTGAAAAACTGGAACTTATTTCTTTAGTTTGTTTAAAAGGCATTCTCAGCAACCAAGAGCAAAGTCAGTTTTTGCAGATCCCTTCGGACTGGATCCCTGAGTTTGGGAGGGGGGGGGATGCCTGGCTGGGAATGGCCAACAGAGGGCAGCGTTTCTACCTTTAGAGGGCAGAAAGGGAGGGGGGGATAAAGGGGAGGGGGCTAGCTTACCTGTCTGCCATCTGGGGAATGATGTAATGCCCGTTCTTGTGATCTACAGGAAAAGACGGGGAAATGATGGCTGAGCCAATCTAATCAATATCTGATATATTGACTATCAAGCTCAGAGAGCACCAAGGACCCCACAGTCCTCCTCCTCTTCGCAAACCCAACTCCCTTCTGGAACTGATGATGTTCCCTAGTTGGGTCATGAAACGTCTGCAAGGAAACCACCCAGCTCAGACAGCACCAAGGAGCCCACAGTCTCCTCCTCCTCCACCTCCTCCTCCTCCTCCTCCTCCCCTCCCCTCCCCTCCTCCTCCCTTCTAGCCCTGATGATGTTCCCTACTTGGGTCATGAAACGTCTGCAAGGAAACCAGCCAGCTCGGAGAGTACCAAGGATCCCATACTCCTCCTCCTCCTCCTCCTCTTCCTCCCCTCCTCCTCTCCTTCTCCTCCTCCTCCTCCTCCTCCCCTCCCCTCCCCTTCTCCTCCTCCTCCTCCTCCTCCTCCTCCTCCTCCTCCCTTCTAGCCCTGATGATGCTCCCTAGTTGGGTCATGAAACGTCTGCAAGGAAACCAGCCAGCTCAGAGAGTACCAAGGATCCCATACTCCTCCTCCTCCTCCTCCCCTCCTCCTCCTCCTCCCCTCCCCTCCTCCTCCCTTCTAGCCCTGATGATGTTCCCTAGTTGGGTCATGAA